TTGCGGGTTTGCTAAATTTCTTGCAGTGCAAAGCAAAAAACGCGAGAAATTCTAGGTGCAAGAAACCACTTTCTTGCAAGTGGAGATTTGCACCCGAAACCTGCCATTCGCTTTTTGGTCACTATTTTACCAAGCATCTTGAAGTTAAATCTAAAGACTCTGAATAAAATAACTTGCAGCAGCAAAAGGTAATGTAAATGCTCGAATGATTACATTTTAAGGATTCGAAAAATTCCAAATAAAAGTATCAAATTAAGTATAAGCGGAACAAATTTGTCCTTTGTTCCATCAAGTAGTCAACAGTATCACATCCATTCCGAAACTGCGTAGGCACAAATCGCTGCACTGTAAACATGCAAAAGACAAAAGTGAAAGTAGGACAACGTAGCAAGACGAGAGGAGATCTGCTAATTGGATTATTTTCTTTCCATGCTTTCTAAAGTGCTTAAGTATACCAGCGAAAATAATAGCAGTTGATACATCCAAGAAATTCAAGTTATTAGAGAAAATATTCTCTCGAAATATTGTAAAAGATCGGATTCCATCACGAACCGGACTAACAATAAGAAACATAAACTGACTGGTGGAGGAATGAGACGTGACATTGTGCTGGGAAACCTTTTTTCTACATTATTATGTACAAAAAAACCCTTTCCTCCGTAATTCGGTCTTTCTTAATCTATCTCGTTGCAGCTTTCACCGCCCTGAGTATGAGGCCATCCATCCAATAATTCGATAATGTAGCCTTATTGATTTTTCTGAAAAAAATATGGAAATTTGATACGTTCGTGTTATCTTATTTCTCTTATGTAATCGACAAACACTCATCGTCAGACTAATCCTAAGGAGGTATCTATTTAGACCGGGGATTTGCAGGTGGCCAAGTTCCCAACTTCTTCATGGGTGCCTACGTACGTACATACTTATGTACACATATTCTTGGTTTATGTAGATAATGCATGCATGAAGCAGATTATCCGTCATTTTTGCAATGTCATCAAAGTCAAAAGAAATATGAAGCCCAATTCGTTTCAACAAATTTGTGTGACTCGGCTGCACTTTGAGTCAACACGGACTCCGAGGTCGAGCCACGAGTTCGTCGCTCGTGTCGTTAGAACACATCTAATTCAAGACTAACCAGCTTTCACTTTCATTTAGCATTATTATTTTACTGCAAGATTAGCACGTACGTACATGCATACAGAAGATCCTGTTCCCTATATACATACACACCAAGACTTTATATCATCCCTGCTAGTCAGCGTTTTAAGTGTACAATAAATTTTCCTTTGGACATTGTAAATGGAGAAAGTAGAAACTAGACTACTTTTGGTCACGTTATGGGACGAAATAGCTCGTTTTGGCTACGATTTCAGCCGATGGACCAAGACTTGACTTCTTTCAAGTAAACTTTCACTTTTCCAACTTTCCACAATCACCACCACCATCCTTATACGTACCATTGTAGAATCAGATCCATCCTGTTGTACAAAATGGAACGACGAGGGGGGGATGATTGTGAACGTACTTACTTGAGCATAAAGTTAAGGTTAAGTTAAATTGCTGATTTGCTTAGAAAAGTAAAGTAAAGTTTTAGACGGAATAAAGTTCCACCACCAGTAGCGGTTGAAAGTTGAAACCGTATCCAAATTTGGAAAATTCAACACGGATCAATGTTACACAATCAAATGACAAGCATCATGAACCCGGCAGATTTGGTGGTCTGGTCTGGTCTTTTGCGGTGAGGTTTGGTTTGTGGTGAGGTTTCAACTCTTCAAGTCTCCATTTGATCTGGGCATCACGGTCATCCATTCCATTTATAGTCGTCCTCTCCATCCATAAACTTGATTTACAAAGTGGTGATGTTCACATTTGTCTCTTTCTCCCTTTCTCCGGGGCATAATGCAGCAAAGGACGTAATGTAATAATTCCTTAGATCCCGTCATCATCGTCCCGGCCGCATTATTTGTGGTTCATGGAATCAGATTGCACAACAACAACACTCACTGCTCTTCTGTGTGTATATATAGCCTTTGAAATTGTGTGATTCACAAAAGGAAATCAACTTCGCAGCTGGAAACGGCACTTGGAAGCAATTTCAGTATCAAAGACAGCGTCACACGGGCATAACACCAAAGGAGAGATTGCGTTTAGGTAGGTATTTAGGAATGAAGCAGAGATACGTAATGTGTTGTGTATTTGGAAATACGCTTGGTTTATGGAGATACATTTGTAGATACATAATTGCGTTTTATGTAAAGCGAATAAAATTGGAATGTAGCGACTTCCGTTCTCGATTATGTTTAGAAATAGGCAATTAAGCCACGTACACTGGAGGTTCATTCAGGTGTTGAATTTCCGATTTAGGTTAGGCTCCAGTGACCTGGTGCTAATACAGCCTACGTATTTCTATACATGTAAATACATAGGTGTACTGTACCCCATGTAATTCATTCACTATTCAATATTCAGTAGTGCATAGGTCAGACGAGAGACAAAAGGCAATAAAGTGCTTCATAATAGACCTTGATATTTCGTCTCGTCATTTGAAATCGAAAATTGTATAACTGAATGACGTCAATTTTGCATTCATACTTAAAAGTATTGCATACATGCAATACCGACGATGGATGGATGTCTGGAAAATGTTCAAGTTATGACTTTTCACATCGTGCTAAAAACAAAATGAGAATCTTGCCCAGATTTAGAGTTAGATTACATACAAGAAGTACGTAAAAATTTTATGGAACACTTTGGAATGTTTCATTAAGTCTTGAAGTTTGAATTAAAATGCATGCAAATAGAGCATCACATTACAATGCGCATATTTAAAACCCATTTTGAAAGTATAATTAAAAGAACAGTTGCATTATTACTGTACATATATTCTTAATCTCTCCTTAGTAATTACATATTTAGATGTAGGGCGACTTCAGGTTTCATCACGGTACGAAATTTATTAGGCTACGAAAAATGAAATATTCGAGTCACAGTTCGTGTGCCTCCCATTATGCATGTGCCACTAGAGAAAGCAAAATCCTTTATGCATTATACAGCAAGATAATAAGAAGAAGAGTGTCTGAATCCAGTGGCCGCGGAAGCCGTCGTGGGACATAAATATTGTAAGATAGGGGAGGGCGGGGTTTATATAACATGGGGAGATGATGGGGACATCGAACAACCGTGGGGACATTGTCCCCCTGTCCTCACCCTTCCGCGGCGGTCACTGTCTAAATCCGTCGACCTTGTACACACTTTCTCCTTCTTCTTCCTTACTTATGACGACGACTATATACACACGGTGACCTATTAATTAGCCGTAAGACATCCTCTTGTCAGAGTGTGAAGGGCAGCAGGCAAAAGGCAAAAGGATATTAGAATTTTGTTCATCATGGGATGAGACGTGTGAGAGAGTTCGCCTTTCATCCCGACGACGACGATGATGATGACTGTTCTTTGAAATTTCGTATAATAAAGAGAGTGAACGACTGGAATAGTATGGATGAGGCTGATGAAAAGGATTCTGCTCAACTGTCTCTACCGGAGGCAATCAATTCAACAATCTGCATTTACTGGAATATCGGTCATATCAAAATCAGGATAATATTTGGATCAGACTTTCTCTACGTCTGAGGCCTTGAAGGAAGAAAGCTTCCCGATAGATTTGGATATTATGTAGCCTACATCACACAAAATTTCATCAATTTCAGAGGAAAGCCACCAATCAACCATCAACCACCTGTCGTATCAAAGTCTCGACAGTTTTATATATTCAAATTCTCCGAAATATTCAAACCCGGACTACGGGATTGAATTTATTAAGTTCAGCTAACCCCTTTGGACTGTATCCATTACGCTCTAAATTGATTTGTGATTTACCTTAACCCACCGTAATTTATGTCTGTTTGAAGTTAATTATCAAGGTTATGTATTCCATACACTCGTCAGAAGAAGTTGGATCCACGACGGCGTCTGTTGTTAACATTTGACATTTAAGTTACTCTTCTTATATTCTACATGTATTTATATGTATTTACATAAGTATACTCTAAGCTGTATGGAAAAGTGAATGCATTCCTTGCAAGTCTTAATCACAGTCAGTCAGTCAGTAGTAATTTGACCCAAATACCGAAATGAAACCACTAATGTTGAATGAAGGAATTCTTCCAGAACTACAATACCACACGTTTCGAGCACATTGTTGATTCTTCAAATTCATTAAATCCCTCAGACGTAGTAAGTATGAGAAGAATTTATTATTTTAACCCAAGAAAAAACCAGATGGGATGATATGTCACGTATGTGTATGATTTCGTCTTCTTGTAAATATGATGCGGTACTACTGTTAAGCGACCAAATAGGGAATATATCTAGCTATCCGTCGTACATACAAGGAAGGAAGATTTATACCTGAAAGGGAACCAAATTGAGAATTAATGGGATTAAATTGATTCCAACAATGTGAAACTTTCCTTCTGGAGTAGTTGGGAAAACAAAAGTTGGAGGAATTCGTGCGTACTTGCATTACTATCACTATTCGTCGTAATTCGTGTATACCTCAACGAATGCCAGCCAGGCTCCTATGCACGTAGGTGAGGAGGATGGATACGTTATTATCTAGGAAACCTTGATTGAAACCGTAGCACGCTAGTTCCTGACAATGAAGCAGTGGTTTCAGTTTGTGCTTGGAAAAACCGTGCCAGCTTTGGCTCCGTATTCGATTAAAGAGAGAAAGTACTGATGGCTGGGAATGAGGACAAACAAGGGTTGGGATTTATGAGAAAATCCTTCAAAGATCATGGGCATGCACAAAGTCGGTATAAGAAGCAGTATGAATAATGCAGTGCAGCACGGTAATTTGTGCATGGACTGCAGCACGACTATTAAATAATGACCTATCTATTATCGACCGCATTGAGTCAGCATCATTATTGATTTCAATAATGTGCACAAATTTGTATGCAGCCAGAATAATAAATAAGAACAAAAGCATCTTCAAATATTTTGGTTTAAACCATTTTCATTTATTAAAATATTTCAAACATAACAAATGAAGTAAAAATTGGTTAGTGGAGTTAGTAGTTAGTGGCTGAATGACTATGGTTGGTTGTTACTGGTTGAAAAACATTGGTCAGTAAATTATTAGATTTAAGGTCATGGGTAACTTTCACTGGTAAAAACAATCAGTCTAATAAAAAAGCTTATATGTATAATGGTAATGGCACAATGGTGATATTAAATATTTGGCAGTTCAAAGTTTACGTAGATCAGAGATTATTGACAATAGTTGCGTGTATTTATAGAGAGATTCTCATAACGGGAGATTTCCTCATGGATGAAAGCTCTGATTGAGTTCACATATTCAAATTTTTAAAGCTCATCTCTTTTGAGAGTGCAGTTTGGTTGGAAAAGAATCGATGATCGTTCAGTGTCAGAAATATAACCGGGCTCATTCGTATAGTGAGTGGGATACATCAACAAGGGTTCTACCGAGAATGCTTTCAAATCTCTCTTCTCGTATGCCATTTTCCACGTCATGCTGAAATAAACGGAAAATAGAACCACAATTTATAAGGATTTCACCGGATTATTAAAAGCGATAAATATGCTAAACTGTATGATTTAATCTTATTTATGGTGACTTACTTGTTTGATTTATCAAACATGATGGGAAAGTATTCATCAACTGGGACTAGTTTTTCCAAGGGGTTAGCTGCCAAAAGTTTTTTTGCCCCTCGTAAGGTCAGAGCGTAACCCAATGTCCAGTACGAGTAGTCGACATGGACGAGATACTGCAAACCCAGAATTTTCTTAGCTTAAGTTACAATGCTTAGATTATGAATGACGTTAAATTATGACATTTTATGAAAGAAAGTTCTATTCTATTATTCAGATAATGTAAATACTAGCTAAAATCCTTTACCTGACTATTTTCTACCCAAGGCTCCTTTGCATTTTGGGACCTTTTTCGTCCAAGATAACTAAAAACATATATAACAACGTGAATAAATTTAGAGTAAGTAAATTGAAAAAGTTGTAGTAGTTGACAAAAGAATGATGACGGCAAAATCTTGTCGTCAGCTTTTTGAGATAAAGAAATGGAAATCAATATTACGATGCAGCAGTGAAGGTTCAATTAGAAAAGATTCAATTAACACTTGCATCAAATCCCAGTCGAGGAAAATGTTGGAAGTTTCTTCAAATACGCGTTGTACTTGGTACACAAAATAGGGTTCGAATCGAACATCGTCTTCCAGAATCAGGGCAGTATTCACGTGAAATTTCACCATCTGAAAGGAATATATGTATACTCAACTTGTGCTATGTAGGTGTCCGTATATTCTGCGTTTCCTATTATCAGCAAAAGCAGGCGGCAACAACAATGGGGACATTCCAGAAAAGCTGTTGCAAAGCTGGTAAATGCAAATTAGAAATGCAAACGGTATAGGGCTATGTAAGTCCTTTTAAGCCTTTACAAACTTTAGAGAGAAAGAGCTAGAAAGCCACTAAAACCACGGAGCGATGCGAGCACAAGCAAATTATTTCTAGATTTAAGTCGCAAGTCGATGCATCAAGCACACCAGTGGCTTATGTACATACTTACGTGTTCCCAAATTTTATAATGACTCAAGAAGCATCCTATTTCTCCCGAGGTCATCAAGCGTTGTGAGAACGGGTCTCGATACCCTTCTAATTGTTTGATACCTAATTGTTCCAAGGTCTCCTCGGTCAGTTCTCTGAAAAGAAAAACTTGAACTTAATATATAAATCAAAATAAATCTCCTGATTGGAACATTTGAAAATTTTTATGACATATTTCATTTTACGACAGTTTTATGGAAAGCCGACAAATATTCTAACGACGACGACGTTGAAAATCCCAAGTACTTGGTTTGACATTCAATAGCGGACAACAGATAGGAAATCGTATTTTTCTTAAAATCAGGTCATCATTCTCAATAACATGATATTTTCATCTTTCTCTGAGCTTCTTAAAGGTTTAGTGAGTCGGTGAAAGCAAAGCACTGTCCAGACTCGGTTCCCTTTCACCACCCCGTGTATGACACGACCCAATAACAAATATAAGACTTATTGGAGAGTCACAAAACCTTTCTCCGTATAAACCTGAGAGCAAAATGGCTTTGCAAAAGAAACAGGAAAGGCCACATAAAAATGAAATATTAGAGCAACTTTCATAATATTGCTAATACATATAACTAGCCAAAAAGTCAAGAAGGGATCTACCCCAATCCACTAAAATCCTGTACCTTCACGGTTACCTACGTACGTACTTGCATGTAAAGTACAACCACTTTCACTCTACCAACTTTCACTTCTTGAAATTGAATTGAATCAAAAGGGATGGTTGAAAAGATTACATATTTTAAAACTTTACGCATTCTTCGTCCTACTTGACAAGTTATTTACCCACGAAAAACTGCTTTAACTTTTTTTTTTACATAGTTTTTTGTCTTTATTACACAGGGTTGAAGGAAAGAAAGTCAGTCAGTCAGTCAGTCTCACTCAACATGGCAGCGTACATAGGACCACAACAACCCCATCAGCACTCTGCTTCGTCTCACCATCGCCCCACAGAAGCACTTTCTTCATCACCACTTCACCAATTCCATCCAGAATTGCACCAAAAATTTCATCATCAACACGACCAAACCATGGCCGCACCACATTTAAGACATGGTCATCACCTTCACCACCCAAATAGCTCTGGGCCAGGAAACTTTACATTTCTCCAACATTCTCTGATGGAAGCACTAGGGTCCAACAATTCTCATAATCCTCCTCCTTCTGCTGCTGAGCAGTATTTCTCCTCCACAAGCAACTCGACCACCTCCAATTTCACTTTCCCCTTCCCATTCAGAAACAATGGGAATTTCTCCTCGTCCACTGCGGCTGCAACGTTCATGACCAAGGCTGGAGATGGGTTGAAATCTCAGTCGTCGGATCTGGTCAAACTGATGTTGAAGCCATCAGACCCACCTTTCCCATTAAATATGTCAATATCAGACATAGAGGAAGACTTTTCAAGTTACGACAACTCGACTACTTTTTTACTGACAAACACCACTTCAATTATTGGCAATGCCACTGGGACTACTGGGACGAGTGGACCACCATCATTTATTGCGTCGCTATACGCGATTATCGTCCCAGTTATGATTTTCTTTTGTGTTCTTACATGTATTGTGAATCTGGTCATTGTCATCTCAGCCAGGTGGTGTCGTAAACCGATGTCACCCACGTTATATTACTCAATATCACTTGCGTTAGCGGATGCATGTAAGTGTATAAAGTATACAAATCTTTCTTCTCCATAAATGCAACCATGTATGTAGACACATATCTTTACACTCAGATTCATCCTTTATCCTTGGGGTGGGTCTTACAATCAATTCTCTGCTGCCAACCGTTTACAAAATTAAACTTACGGAATGTCTCTCTCTAACTGTTGAAGCGTTCAGGTAAATTTGCCAACCTTGTGTTTGGATAATTATATGCACAACCTAAATACATATGCATCCATGTATGCTGCAAGATTACAAATAATCCGTTTCTTGCCTTCCAGGTCGGGTGGAGTGTTGGTAACTGGTGAGTTGCATATTTTCAGCATAAGTATTTCACATCTTCCACATTTTGCATATGTATGTAACTCGTATGTTTTTTGACAGTTTGTCACCTGCTTGCGCTTGGTGTCAACCACTGGGTATGAAAAATTATTTTAGTCACGAATTCATTTATTCGTTTCAAGAGTCATGACCAAAGAGGTAAATGTGTTTTCTCTGCATGTTTTGTTTCTAGATTGGAATTGCTCGTCCGCTCCACTATGCGTCAACGATGACAAGGAGGACAGCTTGGATCGTTATAATTCTTTCATGGAGTTGTGAGTGTTCACTTTATGTATACAGGACGATTGTGCTATTATTATTTACAATATTTTTAAATATTTTTCCAGGTCCAATTCTCATGCTCCTAGTTTATTACTCTAGCATTTCTAACCAAGGTTATCTTAGCCCAGATTGCAGTAATAATCATTTCATGAAGAGATGGACGTACCGAGTTTTTTATGCGTCTTGCTTCTTTGCCCCCTTGGTAAGAAACGAGATGAGGCAACGTTTCTTGGAATATTCAGTCATTAGACTATTTAATAATTTTTCTTTTTTCACAGTTCTTGCTATCTCTGATTTACATTCACATTTTTCTCATCGTCCGAAGTCATCAAACTAATCGACTGAGATATCAAGTAAAAAAGAAAGTAAATATAGAACGGATTATGATTTTGTTTTATGCGTGGTATATCCTATCCAATAATATAGCCCTAACCTTAATAACCTATCTAACTCTAATTTTCCCTGTACAAACATTTCAATTTCTAAATTCATCAGCCATCACTTAACGTTATGTAAACCAGAATAGAAAATGACGGCAAGTCTAATATCTGAATTCAAACGAGTTAATCAGTACATGCACACAACATGCATTCATTATTGAAAAAGTTTTCTCTTTGATCCATGCATGTACAGAGAAATTTTGCAATCATAAATACTTACAGGAATATTTTGTAATGACGCAAATCGTATGAATGCCATTTTCTTTGAACACTTGACAAATCCAAGAATTTTGAGACACTTACTTACATATTACTCGTTTAGGTACTAATAAATAATCCCCCTGTAGAGCTTTTTCTTTTCAGTTTCCCTTGATCGAATTCCTACTTGTAGAGACTTTAAATTACTAACAAATGTTCCCTTAATGATATTTGTCAAATGTAAATATATTAATATGTTTTCTTTTTAAAATCATGTCGCTTTCAGAGCAGTCAAGCGCTTCGAAAAAATGTCAAAGCTGCCCTGACCACCGTTCTTATTTTGGGAACGTACATAGTCGGCTGGATGCCTGCCACACTTTACAACATTATTGCATGTGAAGATTGCATCATTTCGTTGAGCGATGTACGTGGTCACCATAAAAAATGCTATTAATTGGTGCACACCTTAATGAAAACTGAATATTTAGGTCCCCCCAAAATATCGCTACGCTATTGGTATCACGGTCAACGTTCTCGTCATTCTGAAAACTTTTGTGGATCCCATAATTTACGCAGCTAGAATGTCCGACATTCAGGTGCATATTTATTATTGAAGCGATTCGTGATATGAGAACTATTAGTCAAGTAACATGTGGCGTTTTTTTACTTACAGCTCAGCCTGAGAAAGATGAAGTACGACTTTCTCCAGCTGTTTTGCAAGGCGTGTGTCCATTCGATACCACCTCCGGAGAATGATCGAGGGTACTTTGCTTCAACAACAAGAACGTATAAGCAAACACATTTTGTGAAAAAAAATCCACTGATTAATATTCTTTTTGTGTGTAACAATTCTAGTTTCTCAAAATTCAACAGATCTCTGTACGACACCAAGTCTATCAGAATGTCGAGCTTTGGTTCCAGCTCGAGTTCTCGTAGAACTGCAGCGTCAGCAGCAGCAGCTAACCTGATTAATAACTCCCCAGGATCTCAAAGTAATCATAATCACGGTGACAGTACGAGCAGTGGAGGGTTTGGTAATTCGTTCAACTACAAGAACCATAATGGAAATAATTCGTCGCCAAAACCCAACCAGCTTCTTTCGTCTCATCCAACAACAAAGTCTCAACTTTTGCACACTAAAAGTGCATTCGAAATGACTGAAATGCGATAAGAAATTTTGTTTTAAAAAAATTGGGTATTTTTTGATGTAAGAAATATTCGTATTTTACCGAATTCCATTATATATATGTAATCAGAGAGAAGTATATATATATATATGTCATTATGACGAAAATATTTAGCAGAGTAAGTAAATAACTTTGTACCTTCTTCCTACACACACTACATGCATACATACAAACAAACAAACAAATTTTAAATTTTGGGATCCTGTAGAGTTTTTGTTTTACAAAAGCAGGACCAATTCTCTATTCAATCAAACGGAAGATGTAAACCGACCAGCAGCAGACCATATAAAAATATATACCTAAATACCTATCCAACAGTACAGAGTTAATAATATGTAACCACAATATTTAGCATGTCATCATAATATTTACGTACATGATGTCTTTATCTAGTATGCTAGTTCATTAGTTATATGTGCACTCTATAAAATATAATATATGAAGATTTCAAAAATAATAAAAATTTTGTTGATAAGAAGAGAATGAACAGTGAGAAAGAGGGATTTTTTTTTCATTGGGTTCATTCGTTGTTAAATATATGCTCGAACGTGATGCATATTATGGAGAATGATAAATGCATGATGGAGAAGATATAATACACTCACGTTCCATCTACAGCTTCGATTAAAGTGTAGTCAATTCCCAAAATCTCAAGAGCATGATCCATTTTCTGCAATCTATCAGGTCGTCTTTGTAAGTTGATCAGATATGTCTGATCAAATCCAATTGTTGAAGGCGGATTTTGCTGTTGAACAAACTGCTTCAACAGATCACTTACTGGAAGTCCGTCGGGCCAGTAAACTTGACACGAAGAGAAAGTAGTATGTAGATGGTTTGATTTAAACTGCAACAAACCATGTAAATACATGTCGGTAGTACATACCAGCAATTTCTACCCGTAAATTTTGCAAGCGTATGTTATCCGCATTGAAACTGCTTTCATCCTCCATTGGCGACAAAACATAGCCATACTCCATGTCATTGCATACTTCCATCGTAAATCCCTTGGCTTTAGCACTAACAGCAAATCGAATAATGTCATCCTCGGGTTCGTCGCTTACAGGGTGATAGTTTGGGAGATTCTTTTTCCGAATATTCATAAGAACGGCGCTATGAATCAAAGGGACATCGAAACATCCTGTTATCTTGGAGTCGAGGATGTCTTTGTAGTTATCTGATCGAACGTAATAGTAGTCTTTCATCCCACCCCAAAAGTTACTAAAATAAGTGAAATAAAGAAATTAACAGGATGAAATTTAGGTCAACAACAAACCTAAGGACAGGATTAGGATTAATACTAACCTGTACATTCCACCAGATAAAAGCATCGGAGCAACCAAGTCCTTTTGTTTTGCAACCAAATTCTTTAAGGTTTGATTATTGACGAGAAAAACATCTGCATCAATGAACTGGTGAAATATATAGAAAGAATATAAAATGTGTATTAAAACAAACAAATAATGTAATTGTGTCTTGTGTCAGTTTGTATGTAATGCAACTTACAAAAATATAATCTGCCCAAATCTTTTTGGCCACTTTGACGGCTTCCTCTTTCAGCCTCATAATTAATTGAAATCGTTTAGAAGACCATGTAAATGCAGTTTCCTGATCTGATTGTCGAAATGGTGGGCCATCAATAATTTCAATTGATACGGAATGATACAATCCCCAGTCTTGAACTTCCTGTCCCCAGGTCCTCAGAATTTGAGTGGTGTTGTCCTCATTGTGGTCACTTTTAATCCTACATCAAAAATTAATATGATCAAGCAAGCACTTTCTATTTATCATTACGAGTTGTAAAACCATGTGTATGCTAATTGCTATGTAATTTTAATTAAACTTACCAAATTGCAATTCTATCTTGAGGATAGTCAAGATTTTCCAATGTTGTCAAAAAGTATGGAAGTGTGTGAGCTTTATTTCTAACAAGGCATGCCTGACAAAGAAACAAACTGTATAAAATACGAATCACGTCGCTGGAACAAGGAACAAGGCCCTCTAGTAACCGGTTTCCTCCTAATGTGTATAAGCTTAGTCCTAAATTCAATACTGAAGAATTAGCAGAAGGCGTGAAAAAACTAAAGCAGTATGAGGAATCATTTGGCAGTTCAATTGAAAAACATTAATCAATAAATGAAAGTAAACTGTATAGAGGCTCACAATTAAAATTGTTGGAAGTGTGGATCGATCTGCATCATCATCCTTAATTGGGACAAGATTTCCGCTTTTTTGTCCAAAACCTCGATTGATTAATGTGGAGCATAGAATGGCGACTAGTGCAAATTTGACCGAGGATAAAACGGATGAGTGAGTCATTATTTGGCTATTTTTCAGTCTTGATTGTCTAACACAATTAATATAACACAATTAATTGCGCTTCTACATATGATACAATATTTTCATCAATAATACCATGCATGCATCCGGAGTGTTAGAGATTAAGCGACTCGTCCTCGGTACCGGTAATTGATTAGCGTTTGGCTTCCTACGTAAACCGAATCAAATCATGCAAAAAAAATCACGTTAGTACAAGTATTTAATCGCTAATTTTCAAACTGACAATTAGTAAACTGTCTCACAACATCTCTACACAAGACTAATAGACAACATGACATAGAATTTGAACATTTGCATCATATACATAGTTCCTTCCGCATACAAGAGATACATACATTCTCTGCATAAATAAGACGATTAGAGCTGAGCATGGTTACGTATGTATCTGTCTTATCGCAGTTTATAACACAAGTTGTCAGAAAACGAGTGTATGGAATGGAGTAAGTATCCATCCGCCTTCACAATGATTGAAATGAAAGAGTCAAGTCAATGCACTCTCTTAAATTACCATGTTAAAATTAGTAGATCCAATAATTGATTTGATATAACAAGTAATAAATAATCCTTAATTCATTCCACACTCACAAAAAATTACTATTTAATCTAAAATACAAATATCCATGTAAAACACTGCGAAACCAGCAGAGGCAGACCAATTAACAATTTATATAAATTGTAATTCAGCTAAAATATAATAGTAAAATTAATATTACAAATATTTAAACAGAAGAACTTACCAAAATAAATTAAAAATCTCAATATTCCGGATCTGAACGCATCCTCATCGTCTCCTTATTACCGCACCCAATTTATAATGTAGCAGATCCTTTAATTAACTCGGCTCATCTCCAATTTCACATTTTGTACATAATTTCTTGATGATGAGAAGAACAGAGTCAGCAATCCAGCCGATAAAAAGTTGAGACTATTTTTTGTTTTGGTGAGAGATTTGGGATGAGACGGATTATTTGAAGTTGTCCAGCATCATCAGGCCGAGGAGTGAAATGAGACGAGTGAGAGGAGCTAAATAAACGCCTAGCGTCGTTTGCGCTGGCAATTCAATCTCCTTTTTCTCTGTATTCCGGTGCGTGCATTTTGTTCTTGCTCCCTCCGGTCTTTTAGATTTATTTGGCCGGAATTAATATTAAATATTAATTAAATCCGTCTATATTTAGTTGATTGATCAGTCTTAGAGTTAAAGGGGTCAAGTGGTTTAATCCGAGAAGATAATATGTAAGTTTGTGCATTAGATTTGGTTTTTATTTACTTTGTTTTGCATTTGTTATTTAATAATTAAATGGTTATTTACATTTTATACTTCTTGTATGTAGGGCGCGTCCCAGTAAAGGTGACGACCGAAAGAGGCAGAGATCTTCATCTACATCGTCATCTTCAAGCTCGTCAAGTACTAGTTCATCTAGTTCGTCGGGATCTTCCAGTTCTGGCTCGAGCAGTTCTAGTTCCAGTTCGTCGTCAAGTGGTGGGTCAAAATCGCATGGACGACGAGGCCGAGATGCAAAAGCAGCAGATAAGGGAAAATCAAGTCCTAAAGTAGGGACAGTGACCAGGTGTGTATGTTTAACTAGTTTGAATATAAGCAATATTAAATGCGATATATGATAAAATATGACATTTTCTTGTGTTAAAAGGTCCCCAAAACTTGAACCCGAAAAGAGGGGGGAGAGGGAGAGGGAAAGACCAAAGTCTCCAATCCAGCGACGAACTTCACCGTTGAGAAGAGCGGGGTCAAGATCGCCAAGGCGTGTATCTCCTCCTCGAAAGGGCTCATCAAAGTCACCACCTCCACGACGTAGTGGTGGAGCAAGATCGCCGAAACCGTCTCCTTCTACAAGGAGAGGACGATCCAGGTCACGATCGCCAAGGGGAAGGTCAAAGTCTCCAATTAAGAAGGAAATTAGTAAGTCAAAAGTTTTATATTTATCCATATATTTAATTTAAATAAAGTTGTTTGAGTAACATTATTGCCGTCATCAGGAAAGAAAGAAAGAAGTCCTACGCCTCGACCAACCAAAATTCATGTTGGCAGAATAACAAGGAATGTGACGAGGGAACACTTACAAGAAATATTTACTTCTTTTGGCACAATTAAGGTAAAAGTGTGAATTAACTAATTTACGATATTATTATTATGTGCTTTAATTCTTCAATTTGTTTCATCCATTCAGGCAATAGAATTTCATCAAGATAAGGTTCATCCTCATCTTGGCAAGGGATTTGCTTACATTGAGTTTACCAACGCCGACGAAGCTGAAGTCGCTATGAAACACATGGACGGTGGTCAGATTGATGGACAAGTAAGTTTCGTATAATGATACATGATGTGCAAGTATTTATATTAGAAATGTGTTTTTGGTTTTAATAATTACTGTCAATTGTGTATTAATTAGGAGATTACTGCTGCTCCTGTGCTAAATGTCCCTCGTCCACAACCTATGATGGGATTCGGAGGAGGAGGCAGAATGGGAAGAAGGTCTCCGCCACCCCATAATCGACGAAGAGGTGCGAACATTGATTAATTCAATCATTTTAATGTTTGTTTTTAAACTTTTTTACTGATAAATTGTAATTCATTGTAGGATGGTCTCCACCCCAGCGACGTTCGCCATTCCGTGGAGGCGGAGGTGGACGCTTTGGTGGGGGTGGTGGTGGTGGCGGCGGTGGATATGGCCGCAGATCACCCCCACCACGTCAACGACGAGTTTCTCCACCAAGACGTCGTCGTTATGAGGCAAGGTCATCCTCGTCATCATCCAGATAGATGCAAAATGATTAGAACACGTACATTATAGAATGTTTATCATGCATGTTTTGGTAATTTCACCTCCTAAGAATATCTATTTAGAAATAGAACAATTTGAATGTTAAAAACAGTTTTACATTTGTATCCTTACACATGATTCTGGCAAAATTCTACTCGTATTCCACCCTAAAATTAAAGTAAATTAACTAGGTACATACATACAATAGAGTACTTTCCGATTTCACTGTTGTAGATTATTTAATCAAGTGTTTTATGTTGTACAGTCTTGTCGTTGTTGTTAATTTTATATTATGAAGGTATTTTTCGATTAAATAAATAATCTAACATGATAACGGTTAGCATGGATCGCCCACCCATTCTTCCACCTATGCATTTTAAAATATATTTATAATTACGTAATAATGACGAACCCAATTTTCTTGATCAAGATTTTTTTATTATTTTAAAATAACATCACAAAGCGTAATTATTATATTACAAAAATTAAGTACATTCCTTTGGTTTAGGTAACATAGTATTTAATAAAACTCTACAATAATGTTAGGTAAAGTCTGTTAGTTTTATCAAAAGTCAGAAATGGCAGTGCATATTAAACAGGCAGACTTATTTTGGCAGTGTTCGTTTGCGGATCATCATTACTAATATTATTAAAAAAACAACTCGTTATACAAACTACTATAGACTTTTGAAATACAATTTGTGTATGTTTGAATCAACAAAAGACATTTTGGTGTGAGAAATTGATCACATATTCTAACAAAAATGGCACAATCTGACTTAGAATCATATATATATTCTTCAATCTTATATATGTATAATGACAACTTTTTTATATGTATTTCTAGTAAAAGTACATTTACATGTATAATTACAAAATTTCAATTCATTCAATTTTTAGTCATTTTTTACATTATTTTTACATTATTAAATTAGCACCAGAACCTAATTAATTAAGTACAAGCTCCTTATTTTCACTGGTATCATGCTGGTATCCTGATATATAAATATAATAATAACTGGTAAAACATGTTCAGAATAAAATTACAACAGGCTCCTATAGCGCATTACGAGCTTTTAATACAAACTTGACATCTAGAAATTCTCGTACGAAGATAACCACTCTTGAGCGTTTCACTCTTTGGTGTCGCAAATTGGTCCCGATCTTCAATAGTTGCCAACCAGAAGGAATATCTGAAAAAGGGTTAGTACCATTATTAAATGTTACCTATTTAAGATAAAAAATTTAATTGTTATAAAACCCACTTGTTGGCAAAATAATGACAGGTCCCCCTTGCTCCGTTACACTCGATGAAGGGCGTGGCTCTGAAATGTTCCAGACAAGAACCAGGGCTGGCTAGTGATTGTCCTCCTCCTTCTGCTCCAGCCGCAGTGTACTATAATAAATTTAAGAATTTAGATTTCCAGATTACTTTGGGTAGTCTTATTTCCAAAACTATAATTATGCACCATGACAAAACTGTATCCAATCCAAAGACTACTCCACCCTCTTGGACAATTTGGAATGTCAATGGTTTGCGAATGGACAGCAATGACATTGGTTGGGGCTTCACAAACCACGCATCTAGAAATGTGTTGGCGAATGCCGTCTTCCCCGACTAAAATTTTTTTTAAAATCATAAATTACATTGTGTTTTAAAATTTTGAAAAGAAACAATTTTAATATTAGCTAACCTGGCATCATAGGAATGGGGCCGTTTGTGGATAACCAGTATGATTTATCGTTTCTACTGGCATAGTTGCAGACATCGTTAATGTCACAAAATAGGAAGGGCATAGTACTAAATTTACGAATACATGAACCAGCAAAGCCAAGATCTTGATGATGAGATTTTTCATTTCCTTCAATATAAAGTAAACTGTATCCATCCCACAAAGCAACTTGACCTGAAATGTAGAAATGAAAATGTGAAAAAGAATGTAGAAATAAAATAAAATAATCGACTTGACCTCCGGGACATGTGGGAACCATTGTCGACTGGCTGTGTTTGACTAAAAGAATGCCAGACAAATAATCTCCAGCCTCTGTGCAAGATTGACCCTGTAATCCTTTGGGGCCAGGAGGTCCAACCTTTCCGTCCAATCCGGGGGGACCATCAAACCCACGGTCGCCTTTCGGACCTAAATATATATTCAATTTTCGTTAGAATTGAATAATTAAAAATATGCATATCTTTAGTTGTACGTAATGTAAATTATTTACCTGGGAATCCAGGGCTTCCAGGCAATCCATTTGCACCAGCTCGACCAGGTTCGCCACGAACGCCTGATAAGACAGAGATCATGTTGTATTGTGCATCTTATCTGTGATAAAGTATTCTAAATATTTATAAAGTCTTTTAATTACCATTTAAGCCAGGGGCCCCAGGGGGACCAATTCTTCCGTCAATTCCAGGGGGTCCGTTTTCACCTATGGTATAAGTAATCACGCTTAGTTATTACATCGATATTGACGCGTTTCGTAAATTTAATAAGTCTGTATGCTTACCTCTGGGGCCTGATTCGCAAGGCAAGCCAGGCTCGCCTCGGTCACCCTTCATTCCACGTTGTCCATCAAGTGCAGGCAACGCGTCCAAACCACGATCTCCCTTCATTCCCATTTTCCCCTCCAAACCAGGTTGACCTTGAAATGTAGTTTCGAACAGATTAGATAATTGTATATTTAATGTAATTATAATGGGATCTGGTATCTGAGACATATTTCATGTCGGCAAATAACTTTGGCTAAAGAAGTGAGAAATTGGGAAATTTGTATGGTGTTACCTGGAAATCCGGCATCTCCCTTTAGTCCTGGTGGTCCTGTAATGAGATGCACATTAATATCAGTAATTGTTGTTTATATTGAATTCACTTATTAAACCTTTTATGTTTGCAAAATCTAAATTATCTATTTGTACGTACCCGTTAAGCCAGGCTCTCCAGGGGCTCCCTTATCACCACGTAATGACGGAATGCCAGGAGGTCCACTTGGCCCACGATCCCCCTAAAATAGAAATACGCCTTAATAGTAAAATTATAATTACTCATAATTTTAAAATGGGGACTCTTAAAAGAATGAAATTGAACTAATTTAAATGTGTAAATAGTTTAATTAAGTGTACACAATTAATTATGCAATGTGGTCTTTCAAGTCGCCACTTTTTGGTATAAACGAAGAAAGTACTTACCTTTTCGCCTGGTAATCCATCAAATCCATTTGGACCAGGTCGACCGTCCACGCCCGGAAGCCCTAAATAAGCATACGTGCATTAATCCAAACTTTTATGTAGAAACGATAACCGTAGTTAGTCATTAGCAAATTAGTCATTTCTCGAAACGAATAAGTGTTAGAAGCTGTCAATTATCTACTCGGGATCTACTGGCTTACTGCATATTGCGTATTATTAGCTCACCTGGTGACCCACTGAAACCTCGGTCTCCTTTGTCTCCTGGGGGTCCAATTGGACCTGGTTCTCCGACACCGGGGGCACCTATAAATTTGTTGATTAGCATGTATTCAAGTTAACCCTATCTGCGTAATAATTGTCACCATTTTCTTATAGTTATGCAATAATTTTTACCAGGCAAGCCAGGTATTCCAGCATCTCCTTTCGGCCCACTCAACCCAGGCAATCCATCACGCCCAGCAGGACCTTTTTAACAAATTAATAATAATTTACTAAATTTAGTCTGGAAAACCAACAGTCAAAGGTGTGCTATACAACTTTCAATGGGTTTTGAGTATGACGCTATAAATTAATGCCAAATAAACGCACCTGGATGACCTGGCAAGCCCTTTTCACCCTTTGCAGTCAATGAAGAAGGTCCCGGAGGACCTTGAAGACCTGGATCACCTATAATTTACATACATACAAACATCAATACATGAAAATACTTGCAGTTTAGGAACAAAATTATTTAGGCAAATTCCCGTCACTTTTGTCTCATTAACGGGATTTGTAAATCTGTTTACACAAAAAATAATCTATTACGATTTTATCAAACAGTTTTCAAAGAGGACCTTTGTCAAATTAAACGATCCCTGTCATAATGAATGGAATTATTGCACATTGGAATTTTAAATACACAAATATCTATATGTATAAATAAATAGATATGTGTGCAAAAGTTCTTATAGGGGGTTCCATTTCCATTTGTTATTACCTAATAATTACACAAGTATGTACCTAACATGTACATAATAATAATTGATAAACTTGAGATTCCTCAAATCTACATATATGTAATGGCATGTTTTGTTTGAGACATGTATGAATAAGGGCAAGGGTCATTTGCAAAATTTAAAGCTCCGAGAAATCTGATCATTCAAGTATATATAAAAGCGCATTGACTTGAACAAGATCAAGGTTTTTTCAACCTTTTTATATCAGTACAGTAATATTAAAGTAGGAAATTCCTACTAGGAATTATACCTAGTTTTCTGTACATTAGTGGAATTCGTTCAATCAGATACGGAAATCATGCGAAGTACTGCATTAACATAAAAATAAGTCACGTTATAAATACACCAGATACATAGCCAACCTTTGACATTATGCCAACAAGGAAAATTCACTAATTTATTTACTGTAAAAAAATGGTTTTGATTACGAATTAATAAAAGAGTTTGGTCAGTCTAACATAAAAATCTCGAGAAAATTATTCTGCATGAAAATGATTTCAAGAACGGGGCCTTTACAACTTCTAATTTCCCTTATTTTGTTACCCCTGTCTTATTCAGTCCATTTTCTCATATTCCTAATTAACGAATGCATACGCTTGATCGTTCGAGTAATCGCATATGTCCGGTTTGGTGAAGAAGTTACCTGGATTGAAAATGGGTCCGACGCTTGCTTTACGCGTTTGCCCCTCAAAGGGCAAACGCGTAACGCGATTGCTCTATTTACCGTCCCACAGGTGCGTCAACTCTCAATCTTGTGTAACAATTTGTCAGTATTTCTTGTTTTTTTTATTACAGGGAACTCTGACACTTGAAAAGGTTGCGCAATTTTTCGAAGAAAAAGTCCAATATTACATGGACAAAAGCGATAAACGAGCTTACGCCAATCTCGAGAATATACTTTCTTCAATTTGTGGCTACAATTGCTGGCGTCGTGATCCAAATTTTAATGTTCGAAATCACATTGAGCAGCTCGATATAAATGTCACATATACAAAGGAAAAACTTGAAAACTATTTTTCGGAAAATTCTGCCAGTCATAATGCATTTCCAGATTCAAAACCCCAATGGCAAATAACCATCGTTCCAAAATATGACGGTAAAGTGAAATTTTCAAAATGCTTAAATATTTACTTCAACATTTTACAACCTAATTGAACTTGCAGATCGAAGTGGAGTTATAAAATCTAAATTAATTCTGAACTATCACCACGCCTATTTTGACGCGCTTTGTGCAGCCATAATGTGGCGGAACTGTCTCTCCCCAGGGGCCGAGTTATTAATCGACCCCATGAAATCCAGGATTCCAACGCTAAAAAACATTTTAATGCATATCATAACTTTCACCTACTTTCCCTTGCTCTTTGTCCTAATCAATTTTGAGCGAATTATGCTGACAACGTGGATTCCAAACCCGATCAAAATCTGCCCAAGAACAAAATACTATTCTCTCACTGAGAATCCAACTTTTACCACGGACTTGAAGAAAATTAAAAAATGGGCGTCCTCCGTAGAGGGTGGAGTATCCGTTTCACTCACAAATATACTTATCACAGGGGTGTGGAGGGGGCTTTTGGCAACTTTCCCGAGGGAACGTTTAGTAAAGAAGTTGGCGTTCTCTGAAGGTACATACATTTTGGCCCAGTTATCCAGTCCTACTTTAGCCTCAGTCATTAGTGCATGTAGATAGTGTATATTAATTTAAGCGATGTATTTACATCGCTTAAATCAGCACATTTTAAATCATTTGAAGGCTCTGGGAATTTATTTTAAAAATCGAGACTACAAATTTGTAGAGCATGTCGTTGCCAATTTTTTAGAAATACACTCCAGATTTTGATAGTTTTTGAAGATAAGATCTCAAGCTTAAGAAGCAGAAAAACGGAAACTCTAAATAAATTAGCTTAAACAAATTATCGTCATTCTATTAATAAACTTCCTGACTACAATATTTGTCATCCAGAATTCTAAAAGAAATTCCCAGAGCCGACAAATTATTTAAGATGTTTTGATTATGGTGATGAATCATCAACGTTAATAAACTGATGTTTAATTGGGATTTTTCATTTCACAGTGGCTGTGATTCTGCCATATCCTGATGAATCGTTGAGAAACCGTCTCACTTCTTTTAGTTATCCAATGCCGTCAAGTGACAATAAAGGAACTTCTCTTTCTGAAGGGAGTAGGCTATTGAGAGACCTCAAGCTAACCAGAAAAAAATCGACGAAGGCAATCATGGGACCCGAAATGTTGGCAACGTATTATTATCAAAAATTTTGTGCAAGATTGCCAAACATCATGAGTTGGATGTGGTTAAAAGGGACGTATAGCTCTATTTACATTTCTCCTCTGCCCTGGTCGAAAAATAAGGGTGCTTACACTTCGCCCCGTTGTTCTGTTCCGGTCGAAAGACTTGAAGCTTTTACGCCGCATCTCAACGATATTGGTGAGAACCTTGGGTTATTTAACAGTTTGTTAATCTGGATTTTATTCTGTGAAAGTTTAACTATTTTGCATGATAGGTCTCTCCGTAGCTTGCCTGACTTATGGGAACGAGGTCATGTTTGGTGGTTGTGGAGACTCTGATTGGATGTCTAGACAAGAGTTGGACAATTTTGTGCAGAATATTTCTCGAGAAATAGCAAAAATGGCAGAAATTGTGGACAATTGTGAAATGGATGGGCTTAAAATGGTTGATTTAAATGTATAATTTAAATTTCGATGTAATTAATCTTAGTCTGTAGTGTCAACATCTTGCTACATAATGCACATGATGTACACACCTGGTGGTATGACGAGTGACACGAATTGCCCGAATTATTTGTTATGCATATTTATGTAGGAATTGTATAATTTTTATTACCTCGGGGTCCCTCTAAACCTGGTCTTCCTGGAAAGCCTTGGGGTCCAATGAGTCCTAAGAATACCATGAAAAATAAAATATAACTTTAGGGCCGAAAGAATTTTTTAAAATCTTTGCTTTGCACAATGAAAAACTCATGTTTCAGAAACTTTCGGCATGCGTACAATTAAGCAGATATTTTCATACCATAGTCTCCCTTTTCGCCAGGGAGTCCATCCAAGCCACGTAATCCTGAAATTGAGAACTTTAGTTAAAATCTATTAAGCATTAGTTTCACAAGAAATTTGGTATTATCCTTATTTTAAATTATGGAAGAAATTTTCGAATGTAAATTATACCTTGATCTCCCTTTGATCCTATTGGACCTGGTTGACCTTTAGGACCCCGTTCACCGAAAGAAGAAGGACCAGCCTGATGAAGAATAATGTTTTAAATTATGATGATTTATTACTGGTTGCATATTTCCTTCTGCAACCAAAATTTACAACGCCTATAAATTAAACTCTACAATTACCTCTCCTTTTGCTCCCTTTTCTCCAGGAAATCCGGGTAACCCTTCTGGACCCTAAAATTTCAATTAATTGCATATAATATATTTCATTTTGCTTCAAAATGGACAGCTATGTTATGTACAATGTACATACGAATAAACACTTTCAATAAATAAATAAATAATGTCGTACTCCAAGCTAATACGCTATTAATTGTCTACATTTTTGGAAAATGAGAGGGTTAGTTGAAAAATATTGAAAAGTCAGTAAAAAAAGATTTTGAAACGATTATTTTGTAACATAATTTCGAATTAATTAATTAAAAAATCGCATAAGTGCGCAAATATAAATTTGCATACACTTTGTATATAAATCCGAAAAACAATAAATGCTTACAATTGGACCACGTTCTCCTTTGTTTCCGTCGTATCCACTCTTTCCAGGCTCTCCCTTATCTCCCTAATAATTGCGTAATTGAAAATAGAAATCCAGTTAGCAATTACATAATGAATGATAAGTTTGACTAATCAACAAAACAAACCTTTGGTCCGTACGGTCCTGAACCTGGAGGTCCAACGTCGCCCCTTTCGCCAGGAATGCCATCCAAACAAGGAGAGCCAGGTATACCTGGTAAGCCGATACCACCCTAATGGAAAAATACGAATAAAATGCCATAAAACTGTAACGAAACATTATTATTGTGCATTTGACAATAATTTGATATCGCTTTGGTACTTTTCGATCATTCAAAATGGTTACGAAGGATCCCACGAAACTATATAATCTAAATGAGTTGATGGCTTTGGTTCAAGCCATGCAAGTCAAATTCTACCATTTTGAACAATACAGAGCTCTAAAAACTGCAGAATTGTGAATACTGGCAATTTGAATGTGCAACAATAGTAATAATACCTTTTACTTACCTTTGCGCCAGGAATGCCAGGAAATCCAGCTAAGCCAGTGGAACCCTGCGTTTTTATTTATATTTACATACATTTTCGTTTATTTTAGTATAAATCAATTGATAAAACTACCTTCATTCCTTGAAGTCCTGGGGGGCCGATGTCTCCCTAATTGAAATATTATAAGGTTATTAATTTTAGTGCTTGTACATATTTTTACATATTTTTACATTCATGTTCAATCTGCTAGTCTGTTAGTACCTTGGGTCCAACGGGGCCTGGGGGTCCGTAACCCGGAAGTCCTTGATCACCCTTAATCCCGATTAATCCATCAAGACCCGGATTTCCTAAAATCAAGTTCATTATACGGATTAGCATACATTTTCGTATTGTGTACCTAGGTATACACACATCTACTTAATTGTAGTAGGTAGTTACCTGGTGCACCACGTGGGCCTTCCAAACCTCGATCACCCTTGTTTCCTTTTTCAGAAGCACGACCAGTTTCTCCTTTAGGACCCTAAGATAACACCAATAATAATAGCAAACGACTTTGAAAAAATCTTGAATAAATACCGTCATGCGAAGCTTAATTGAAATTTGTAATAGATATCAAACAGTGGGTTTGACCTATATATTATTTTAATTATGTATGGTTAATTATTTTTACGCACATCCAACCCAGGTAAACCCCTTTCTCCCTTGAATCCTGGTAAACCAATTAATCCGCTTAATCCAGGGGGTCCAACAGGTCCACGATCGCCCTAAATAGGATGATGTTACATGTCACAATATTCTTGTTGGATTCAAGCCATGATTGCAGTAAGTTTTTGGCCTGCATACCTTTTCACCTTGTAATCCTCCCAATCCTGGTTCTCCTCTCTCTCCTAAAAAGAAACAGGGTTGCAGTTTTGATAAAATGCCCGATTGGGCAAAAAAATCATACCTGGAAAGCCAGGAGGTCCCTCAAAGCCTCGATCTCCCTTTTCTCCCTTTGCTGCAGGTAACCCATCAAGTCCAGGAACCTACGATTACAGCCATGTTTAGCCAAGCTAATTGGGGTACTTTGGGATTCAAAATTGAAAATATGAAGGACTAGTTTGGTAATTTTATTGATAATGGATTTATAATCTATAGATCGCACCCCTGGACTTCCTGGTAAACCTCGTGGTCCAATAAAGCCCTTTTGTCCATCAAAACCAGGCAAACCAACATCTCCCTTGGGTCCTGCAGCATTAATGTTAATTTTAAGCCGTTAAGTAATAATTATTCTATAATATATATGCCAATTATGAAATTACTTACCTGGGAAGCCAGGCAAACCTGCTGGTCCTAATTCTCCTTGTAAGCCCCGTTCTCCTTTTGCACCATCAAAACCAGCAGGCCCTGCGCAATTACAGAAACAGATTAGCAGAAATTTATCAACAGGATTTTAATTATCATATAATTTAAGTGCGAATTCAAGGCTTTGGGGTATAATTTAAGATAATATTGATCGTATAGACATGATGGGAAAAATGGGACAATTACACTGGATTTAGCAGACTTTTGTACATGTAACAGCTTACCTGGAGGACCCCTTGGGCCGCTGAGACCTGGCTGACCAGGAAATCCTGGATCTCCCTTTTGTCCACCTGGGATGATGCATAATCAATATATTTTAATTACAATATTTCATGTCAACGTATTAGCATGTACATACATATCCTGAACAATGCCAACATGCTTAATTAGTATATCAATCAAGAGACGTCGCATAAAACAGCTATTTAATTACATTACATTACCTAATCCATTCAAGCCAATTTCTCCCTTTTCTCCTTTATCACCCCCAAACCCAGGGGCCCCTTGTAAACCTGTCAAACACAAAAGACACACTTTAGTTTAGTAAAGATCATAAAATCGTATAAAAAACTATAAAATTGACGTGATTTTTATATCTATGACACGATTTATTGAGCGATTATACTTCATCAATTGTTGCACAACCCACCTGGTAAACCTGGCCTTCCAGGTAATCCGATCAAGCCTGGTTCACCCTTTTCCCCAGGAATGCCGTGTGGTCCAGGTGGTCCGATTCCAGGAATTCCACTTTCACCCTTAAATTTTTATTGTTACAGATTAGATTACAAATTACAAATTTCGACCAGTGTTCCTAAACCTACTAAAAGACAACTTAAAAAATAGACATGTGAAGACCGTGAAAAATTCTTGACGTTTGTAATAATTAAAATTAAGCTGTACGCAAATATATAGATGTACATTTACATAGGATCACTTTATCTTATTGAACTATAGGTACATAGAATTAAGCATATGCTGGACCATACCTTTAAACCAATTAATCCAGGCCGGCCAGGTAGACCTAAAATAAACAGCGATTATAAGCCATAAGTTAATGCATAACCATACATTTCAAAATTTGCATAAATTAGATAGAGAGTCGACAAAATGACTAAGATATCTGTTTTTTTACACGCAAAAAATTTAAAAATATTCTTAAAAATTGGCTGAAAAATGATCGAACTAGCGAGCAAACAACATACGTAAACATAATAATACAATATTTAATGTTAAGCCAAAAGCATGCAATTAGTTCTACCTGGTCTGCCGTTGTCTCCTGGTTCTCCAGGGAAGCCGAGGGGTCCACTATCTCCTTTGTCTCCGCGTGGTCCAGGCAAACCTCTAAAAATTAAAAAAACGCATCATTGAACAATGGGAGTATTCATTCTGAGTTCCCATCGTTAACAATGCAAGTTCTTCGCAAAAAATTCTGGATTGAAAATTCACTTGCGCATTTATGTATAAGAAAATAACAGTTTTTATTTAAAATTGAGCAGGAATGAAAGCTGTTATTTTGAATAATCTTATTCACAAAAATGGCGATTTCATAATGTCCATTAGCTTTAAAACTACAAGGATATAAATTCTAACCTTGGTCCGACAGGTCCGGGTGGTCCGAATTCTCCCTTAATGCCCCTCTCTCCCTAAAAATGCATGAAATATATGTAATACTTTTATTTAAAAAAGCATGACCACATGCTTCATTTTCGATGATTATTACTGCATAATAAATGTCTAAATTACACCATAAAAACAATAGGACATACATACTTGTTAAAATTGGCGTAACTCATGAGTTTTACACAACACGTACCTTTCTTCCTGCTTCTCCTGGATAACCAACCGGCCCTGAATCTCCCTTCAACCCCGGAGGTCCTGGGGGTCCAGTTAACCCCTTTGGTCCCTTTGTTAAGTTTTCCATTTCCGGACACTTTCCAGCATCACCTGTGACAGCATAGAAACATTATTTACTGGGGATTACCCGATAAAACATATTTTTATTGTGGATTGCTCCTGAATAGGGGCCGGGCAAATGAAAAAATGTGTTCAAGCTTGTTCAAACAGATTCAGAAAGAACTATGACTCAAGAAATTCGATAAAATATTGTACCTTTAGGTCCGTAAGGCCCTGGATCTCCTTTGTAACCCCGTTCACCGTCACGTCCAGGATAACCCCTTTCACCCTATTTAAGAAATAAGCCTGGTTTTATCGTACCAAAATTTTGTGGGTCGATTAGTAGCAGACATACAGTGGATTATTTTGAAAAATTCTATTTTCATAATGCAGAAACCTTGACCTGTGTGAATTACATGCATGCAAAAATGTGGCTTAAAGTCAGATCAAACCTTGACACTTTCTCCTTTCTCTCCCTTTAAGCCAGGACCTCCGCTTATTCCAGGAATTCCATCGAACCCAGGTTGACCACGATCTCCCTGTATGCGATGAATTAGGACAGAAATGTACATGAATATATTTACAATTAATACAATACCTTGTCTCCAATTTGGCCAGTTAAACCAACCCAGCCTGGCAAACCTAAATTTTTGGTAATACAAACAAATTAAGATGATTGTATACTTGAGAAAAAATTGCGAACAGGGAACGGTTAAAGTTGAAAAAGAATTTCAGTGTGTTTTTTTAATCGTGTAATTTTTACAAATTTTTTATAAAGGAATCTAAGGAAAATCTGATGCTTTCACTTACCTTTTTGTCCTTCAGGTCCTGGTGGTCCAGGAAAACCTATTTTAAACATTGAAAAATTAATCTCACTTCCATAATAATGGTTACAAAGTACGAACATACGTGGAGATATTCATATTATGCAATAACGATCATCATATTGCTTATTCTTTAATCTCACCTGGACGACCTGGCTCTCCACGATCTCCCTTTACACCTACGGGTCCTTCGATTACAGGAGCAATTGCTGACACTCCTTTGTCTCCTTTTAATCCGGGTGCACCCTGCGTTCCTATAAACATTTAGATGGATTAGTAATACCTTATTTTAATATATTTGCTACTTTCTCCAAAAAATTAACCAACCGAATTGGCCAAGAGGTCATCCTATATAATTTAAGAGTGTATTGACCTACCTGGAAGTCCATCAAGTCCTGGAGGTCCCCCAACGCCTGGTAATCCGTCTTCTCCTCTATCTCCAGGATGGCCTCTTTCACCTATTGTATGCACAATCATCAATTTATTACGCATGTATGTACATAAGCATTATGGATCAACTGTATAACTGCATAATTTCATTATTTAAAAAATCATTGCCATTCATTCGATGATGATTTACGTTATCTTACTCACCATTGGGGCCCCGAGGTCCAGGGATTCCACTCACGCCCTAATTTCAGTAATTTGGGTTTGATTATTATAAAAATGTGATATTACATATACGCATTAACCGTTCTGTATGTAATTAACTGTGCCGAACTCTGACCAACTAATTTTGCGGAAAATTGATACACGACATTATAAAGATATTTACTATGTATTGCAAAATAGTTTTCTCCGAGATTCATAGTTGATCAAATTGGGGTACAAAGAATCAGTGATTATTTGAAACCCTACCGGATTTCCGCGATCTCCCTTAATTCCAGGTTCTCCAGGTCGACAATCAGGACAAGAACCACCGGGATCTCCCTTCTGACCAGGCGTCCCTTAAAAGTAACATTCAATTCATTTTTATATACAATGATGATAGTAAATAAGTTGGTAAGTTGGTCCATATCAGAATTGTATCCCGATTACGTAGTCACCAAGACTTTTCAAAGTTATAATATGGTTTTTTACCTGGAAAACCAGCTCGTCCAGGATTTCCATCTCGTCCGCTAAAACCCTTCAATCCAGGCGGACCTTTACACCAAATCAGTGATCAATTATTGAACGTAACTGAGGAGGACAACCCTTCACCGACAGAATCACCGATCTTAACGCCCTTTGGATATGTTGTAGTCCTAGGTGAGTCTAGCAAAAGTGAAGAAGGATTTCATTCAATGGCCCCATTTGCGCCCGCCACACCCACTCAAAGGTGCGAAAAACACGAAAAATACCCTGTTTTCGTTCATTCAAAAAATCACCAAAAATCCAATTTTGATCGGATTTTCACAATTTAAGCATTTTTGTGATCCTAGATAGTTGCTTTATCATATCCAATAGCTAACTCAATTTTTTTGAAATTTTGATTTTTTCGAAGGCATACCCCTGGTCAGGAAAGTTTCGAAAATACTCAAAAAATTAAAAAAATTGAGTTTGCTATTGGATATGATAAAGCAACTATCTAGGATCACAAAAATGCTTAAATTATGAAAATCCGATCAAAATTGGATTTTTGGTGATTTTTTGAATGAACGAAAACAGGGTATTTTTCGTGTTTTTCGCACCTTTGAGTGGGTGTGGCGGGCGCAAATGGGGCCATTGAATGAAATCCTTCTTCACTTTTGCTAGACCCACCTAGGACTACAACATATCCAAAGGGCGTTAAGATCGGTGATTCTGTCGGTGAAGGGTTGTCCTCCTGAGTCGATCATTCCGTTTCTGGTCTCGAAATGATTTAATTTGTATGCAAGCTGTGAGAGGTTATCAATTTTATTAACCTTGAGGGCCTGGACGGCCATCCTTGGAGTCTCCAGGTATGCCAGGCGCACCTGAAATATATGGGCAATATTTTTTTTACTTGTTTAGAATAAATGTCTTACAAACTAAATTTAATTGCTTAATAGATTTAATTTAATTACGAACTGATCTACCGAACTTTTACCAAAATATTTATCCAAATATCTTAATATATACCAAATATTTTAGTATGAATTGGTCCTTGCATATAGTTTATTTAGTTTACATACTCATGATAATAACTGCGTTGTTTAATTAAGTAATTCAATATCAGGCATGTGATAAAAAATTGTCCTTGGGCTAATCATGCTGCTTAGAATGTTGAATAAATATACGCAAGTTACTAACCTGGGAACCCCCTTTCCCCTTTGATTCCTGGATAACCATCTCTTCCGGGAGCACCATCCATTCCTTTGGGACCTTGAATTGACATTCCCTTGTCTCCTGGAACACCTTGGGGACCACTGGCACCTGGATTTCCTGGAATTCCACTTAAACAACAATAACTTCGCTATAATATATGCATATTATTACATATAAAAGGGTCATTTTGCAAGGAAAAATATACACAGAGGGACGATATGCAAATTACTTATTAATGCTAATAAAACCTATGCATTTACGCTAATCACGTGTACCTTTGTCCTCGTTCGCCTGGCAAACCCGGAAAGCCACCATCTCCTTTTTCACCTTTCTGAGCAGGACGTCCCTCCAAACCATCTCTTCCGGGTGCTCCCGGACCTAATTGCATATTGATTAATAAATTAATAAGTTATTAATATATTACGCATTTAATTGGCTGTAATCCTATGATTTTTTATTAGTTCCAATGACCAATTTACTTATGAAGTAAATTATAAAAAATACTGAATCAAACGCCGTTATTAATTTTTCAAAATATATTTTGGCGAGCATGGAATAAAAATTGTTTAAATTTTGGTGATTTTGGTCAATAATGTTACAAAGAATCACCTCCAACTGGTCCGGGTGATCCAGTCAATCCAGGCAACCCTAGAAAATGCATTAGTAATTTAAATAAAAATGAATTTCTGACTAAATACATATTTTTACTAATAATCTAAAGGTACATATTATCCCATTGTTATGCATGAAACTGTTCTTGTAACGCCACAAAAACAGATAACTTTTTTGGCACATTTGGTCACAAGCAGGCATTTCTCCCCGAGAAATACAATTGTCATTTTTTATACATAGTCTTACCATAAGAAGTGATAGTAGAGCGTAGTTTTTGAACCGGTCAACATAAAATTAAAAGGTCAATTGCGGTTTGTGCATACATTCAGTTCATACATTCGTTCAATGCCTATCATTGGTGTTGACCGCTTTTACTTGACATCACTAGGTCAAAAGTTAGAGAAGCTTTGCTACACGCGCGCGGCAATAATTTTTCACTTTTTGCACGAGAAAAAAATGCACGATGTTTGATGTAGTGTAGCAGTCCAAGTACAACTACGATCTGGTTGCCCAAACTATTAAAGTAATCCTAGAGACAGTGCCTATCTTTGGTATAAAGGTTTCGGTGGTCCAAGGTCAAGAAAGACTACAGTTATGTCCGAAGCTTTAAATACCAGAATAGCACAAAATCTCTATCTGACGCCCGAGATTTTGGCCACACAAATGACCTTTCAACTTTTGAGATCAGATTAGCACTGAAAAGTGACCCTACGATGAAGGTCTTTTAGATTAGAAAACGCCACATGCTACAGATTTCCAAGGCCTAAGCTAGGGTCAAAAAATCGACCTCTCTCCCTAAACGGTACGGTGAAAAAACCAAAAAAAATAACCCGTTTACCGATGACAATTTCTTTACGACAGAAACATATTTCTAGAAAAAAACTAACACGTTTTATGTCAAATATTCTAAGGGTTAGCTGATTACAAAATAAAGGTCAAAATGTTATCTTATCAGGTTCCATTCATGGTTTTGGTGGGAATCGGCGTAATTGCGCAAAAACAGCCCAATTTCCTTGATTAAGGAGAGGAGATACTTTAAAAAAATATTTGATCAACGTCCTGATGAAACTAGAGCACCCCCTCAACTAGTCCATATCGGGTGAAAAGCCACCGACCTTTGTGAAGGCGTCCACAGTAGCATTTACAGCGAAATTCGTGAAAAACCGGATTAAAATCCATATTTCTGACTTCATTGGCACTTTAGGCTTAACGTTGGAATTTTCGAACCGCAGACAACTTCATCACCAAATATTGATTAAAATTGAGGAAAAGGTCTGTTCTGAGCCACATATAAATGTCAGGGTCATAAAAAAATTTCTGACCCGGGAATGATACCGTTTGTCAATTAATTTCGTGCGTATTTTTGATGGAGCTTTCTCTTTCGTGACCAATTTTTCATGGTCACAGGAGGAATATATTTTCAAGTTTAATACATGTTTTCTACTTTAAATTTAACTGGCTTTTCAATGGAATAAGAATAAATTTGAAATTTCTTAAAACTAACCTAATATAGTCGTCTACTCTACTATCGCTTTTTAAGTTGAGACTATGTATTAACAAAAAATATAATTTTCATACCTGGAATTCCGTCTTCGCCTTTTGGGCCTGGTAAGCCAGTATGACCCCTTGGACCTAAATTAGATCAGATTATTACCCAGGGATATATGCATACGATTATCTATTGATGAATTATAAATACCTTCTGGACCTGGGGGGCCTGCCCACCCTTGTTCGCACTGTAAATAATTAATTCATATTATTATTATTCATACTTTATTTGGTAAAAAAAGTCAAAATTTCTCTGCTCAAAAAAGTGGCAAGTTTTACGTATGTTAAATTTTGTAATAATGTAGAAATGTACTTACACCTGCTGGTCCTCGAGGGCCTGGTAATCCAGTAAATCCCTTATCTCCATCCCTTCCTGATTCCCCCTTTAAGTAGAATAATTAATTATTAATTCTTATTTGGCCAAACCTGCTGTAATTGATAAGTAATTTGTAAAATTAAAAACACGTGCCTTTTGACCTTTAAGTCCCCCTAAACCTGGTAAGCCTGCTTCACCTCTGTCTCCCTTCAATCCACCTGCAGAAATATATTGATGAATTAAAGACTCAATTAAGCAATCAATTCATTTCGTAAATAGTTTTAGATTGCATAAATATTTACATAATTAATGTATGTAATTATTCATATCGGATCGGATCAAACAAACGCAATTATAATTGTGTTATGAAATGCTTAAAGGCATTTAGCCTTCATTCTATCGTAGCGATCTTCATTACATCATTTTCGAAATTGTTAGGAAATATGTATGAATTAATAAAGTATGTAACCCTTACCTGGCCCAACTGGTCCGGGATACCCATCTCTACCCTACGCCAAAGCATAATAATTAATTCATACAAGTAAACCAGTGGGAATGTTTTGCACGTCTAAACGATAAAAATCTCATCATTTTATTATGTATGCATCGACATACTCTCGGTCCCGCAGGTCCAGGCAAGCCCTTTTCTCCCTTCATTCCAGGTAATCCTGTATAGACAAGCATAATTATTAGCAAATTAATTTTTGTTGGTAATCCATAAGTTAATTCAGATTAAGTCCGTTACTTAATTCAGATTAAGTCAAATAAGTACGTGGTAAACTTGAATACATTATGATGTTTAGTTTTTAAGAGCTATCGGTAAATTGCGTAATGCGCCTTGTCATAATGTATGCATGATGCATAATGCATCTACATAATCTGGACCAATTGACTTATCCGGACCCAATTACTTGGATCAGTACTTACCTGGGCCTCCACTTAAACCGGGGGGTCCACTTGACCCAGGCACCCCAGCGCTTCCCAAGTCACCCCTTTCTCCCTTCATCCCTGTTTCACCTTTGGGGCCAATGTATACCTAAAGTAAAGCGAAAAACATCAAATGCTATCCTGTTTTCTTTCAAACTTACAAACCAAACTATTATCCAAATTTTTGCGATAACAATATTTTTGGGGAAAAGAATTTGCAGTAAAATGTCAAGGGATTATTTGAAATTATTAGAAATATTCAAGCCTATATTAAATTGGGATTATTCTTGAGATAAAATTATATCCCTATTATTTGTTGACATCTCCTCATATTAATGTCATGACCTTAAAAAATAATTCGTCACTCAATTGGCCAAGTATGTACATACGTTATGAATATACATATGTACTTGGCGAATCTATTTTTTGATACAACTATACATATGAGGGTCAACAAATGACCTGTGACCTCGACCAAGGTTATATGGTAACCTAGACCTAATTATGTGTATTTTCGCGACCAAGTTCTATGGTTGGGCCTTTTACATGAGGCTACATACTTATGACCATATACAAATTTGATTATCTTACCGTTTCATTTCCTCCAGCAAATGTATAGTTGTTTCCAGCCGGCCCTGGAGGACCATGCATTCCCTTAAAAAATAAAGCAACCATTTATTACCACAACTGCCCAATATCATAAAAGGCCATTAATTTACATCATAGCTGTGTTTGGTAAATGGTTTCTAGTTTCAAGTGTTACTTAATCTAAATTTAATTTAAAGTTGCTTAATTCTCGAAAATTTATGAGAACGGAGTTCAAGTTGCACAACTTTAAAAAGCTTTTTATTTTTGAGTTAAAGTTAGGAAAATGTGGTTTAACAAAATGAATTTAAGTTTCAGTTCAAGCATCCATGCAAATATGAGTCAACTGATAATGTGGTGATGGAGTTACAGGGAAACAATACGCAATTATTATCAATTTATATTAAAATGAAAGATTCTGTCCTTACCTTGTCTCCTTTTTCACCCTTGTCTCCAACAAATGCGACGCCCATTTCTCCCTTCAAGCCTGGTGGGCCTGGAAATCCAGGGGCTCCCTTAAACAGCATAAAATATATTAATGTTTAATAAATTCAAATCATTTTAGAATGGATATTTGCTTAATGATTACGAAAAGATTTTATAGTGGAATACCTGTGAAAATTGGTATTTGAAAAGCAAGTACAATTTAAGAATACAAAACCTCCAGCCTTACATTTAATCCTCCATCTCCTTTCGGTCCCTTGGCTCCATCAAAACCCTGCGTTCCTATAAAAATAATATTAGGATCAATGCATATTTAAGACTTAATCACTTTAAACGCTGGTATTTTTTACCTGGTGGACCAACTGGACCACTTTGACCGGTCAAGCCAGGTTCTCCCTTTTGTCCCTTTCCTCCTGGTCGGGCGAATGCAGGCTCTCCTTTGAGACCTACAGACACAGATTTTTTTAACTGGCTTGTTAACTTTTTTAGCAAGTTTTTAAAAACGTGCGTAAAGTTTTACTTGTCTATACGCCATGTATACAGTTTTTCGTTTCTTACGGGTTTGCTATATTTTTTGCACTACAAAGCATGAAACGCAAGAAATGCGAGATGCAAGAAAGTGTAAGAAATATGCAATTCCAGGTCAAAATAGCTGCAAGAAATCACTTTCTTGAGGTTATTTCTTGCAACTGGTTACTTGCATTCGAAATACTGCATGTGCATATATGCATACTAAACCTCTTTATTCAAGATGATAAATGCAAGATAAATTTTAAGAAGAAATATATCCCTACCCTTTTCTCCTAGCGTTCCTGGAAATCCCCGTGGTCCAGGGGGTCCGCTTAAACCGGGCAGCCCAGGTAGCCCCTAAAAGTAATACATGGATTGAATAGCTTGAATGCCTTACATAAAATGTAGGTGGTGTTATTATAAATTAAAAAAGTTGGACAGATTTTCTGTTCAGATTTTTGTTGTATTTACGTACATCTGTTCCATTGCATCCGTCCATTCCAGGAAGTCCACTTGGTCCCTGTATACCTAATTACATGCAATAAATAAGAGTTTATAATTACTTAATTAATCATGCTACCGAACTAACCACACCACAATCGTGGAATGCCACTAATGTTGTAAAATTCAGAGATTATAGTGGTGAAAGTTGATGGTGAAAGTTGATGGTGAAAGGGCTTTCAGTTTCTTCCCAATTATACCCATTTAAATATAAAGAAAGCCAATTTTTGCATTAAATGTAGAGAAAAAAGATGTCACAAATTCCATACAGACTTAAAACTGCGTGGATGCGATTTTGCAAATTCTCTGAATTTTTTGGGCTTACATTATTCTGCGAGAATGTTTATTAAAATGAATGTGAATTAAAGTTAGTTTACGATTGGCTTATAAAGTTCAATATAACTCACCTGCCAATCCAGGTATTCCAGGAATTCCTAAAAAATAAAGCATAAAATTAACAATGAATCTACAATAACTCGACTTTACATGTTTTTAATGCTTACCCGGAAATCCAGGCATTCCTAAAAAATAAAACATAAAATTAACAAGGAATCTACAATAACTTATCTTTACATGTTTTTAAAGCTTACCCATTTTGCCCTATGATCAGTTCAACCATGACATTAATAAAGATTTAGTTATGTTTAGTTGCAGATTTATCAAGTAGAATCGTTGCTGTAATATCCTTACGCGATCTCCCTTAGGCCCTCGTGGTCCATGTAACCCAGTGTCTCCTCGGTCCCCCTTGCCACCTGTATTTATTGTACGTGACTTTATTCAAAATTCAGTCACAGTCTTAATACAAGTCCATAAAGTGTAAAACTTGTATTTTGAGGTATGTACCAATTTTATTAGACTCGCATCGAAAAATAAATCATTATTGAATTTATTGCAATTCCTTAATTTAAGATGTTCCATTTTCAAAATGATATTTTTGGAGTGAATTACAAAATTCGAATGCAAACATGCACCTGATTTTTAGCAATTTTTTTAATTAGTGAATTTTGCATCAGCATTTAGATAATCCTAAGACAAAGCAAGATTTTAAATTCTCACCAAAATAATTCTTGTTTATTTTTGAATTTTTAATCGATACAAAAATTCTTAAATTCTGAAGTGTTAAAATCTTTGTTCATTAAAGCAACTTCGACAGTATAGCTTGTCCCATAAAAGTCGAGTTTTACACTTGTAAGACTTGCATTTTCAGGAGATAAAACTAGTTTTCAAATTATGTACATCTTTACCTGGAAGGCCTTCCATTCCGGGAAACCCCTGAAAAAAATTGTTGGAAAGTTTAAGAGGATGATTTTAACTATTTGCTAATTAGAATGTGTCACATGATCTTTGAGATTAATTAATTTTGAATAAATAAAACAGTTTACATTTAGATTAATAAAATAGAGGAGTTAAAATTAAACAACTAAAATTTAATCGACACACATTAAGCGAAATTCGAATTATCTTTTTGACATGATTGACCATGTTTAATGTATACGGTGAATTTAAACAGACACAGAATATGAAATATTATAGAATACAATACCTGCTGTCCCTTGTCTCCCTGAAGTCCAGGCGCACCATGTGGTCCCTAAAATTACATGCATTACAAGTATCAAATTAGCAAATTATTATATATTCACTGTGTAAACATGAAAAGCATCTGCATATCAATTTCATATGACAATGGTGGTCTATAGGTAAAAGCCATAAATTACGCTGTTAATATCATGATAATGATCATTTTACTGGAAGGAACCACGTGTGAATTCGAGTTGTGGTCAATCCTGTATATTTTCTTTGCATGTAAATACAATCTCTCTTCCTTGAACCTACCCGTGATCCTTTCTCTGCCAAACAACGCGTCGCACAACATCCCGAGCACTGCACGCTTGAGTTGCCATTAAGATATCCTCTCGAATATGGAATCCTTTGTCCCGAAGTGGTCGACGATGGATAAGGACTATACGCTCCACCCCCATTCCCAGCAGTGGCACCATACGGATCGGAAATTGCTGGAAGTCCGTACGGATCCCTGTAACTGCTGCCCCCACCACCACCATTGCTCGAATCATTATTGTCCTGTCTTCTAGAAGCCGCGTAGGGGTCCGTGCCACCACCACCACCGTTTCCATTACCGTAGCGGTCATACGTTCTGTCGTAACCTCCTCGTCCCCCAGAATCCGAACCATACCCACTTTCATAACCTCCTCCTGCACCATGTTGTCCTCCTTCAGATGTGTATCTATCATCCCCTCGAAGTCCGGCGTACGGGTCTCTGTCATCATTTCTCGTCCTTGCGTACGGATCTTCTTCACCACCTTCGTTTCTTATTCGGGAGTATGGATCCTCGTCTTCCTCCCCCGGGCGAAGTCTACTGTTGTGACCGTAGGGGTCGTTTTCGTCGTAAGGTGCGTCAGGATCATTGTAGTCGGTGTCATGCTGCCTTGTTCTTCTACTACTTCCTTTCCCAGTTTTCCCAAAGTAGGAGTTATCGAAACTGGGAACTTTCTGAAAATTTGGAACAAAGAATGCGTTACATTTTCAATCGTTTAGAGGAGAGTTTCGTGTCTTGGTGATTTTCTATATTTTTTGCACTGCAAATTGCCGTTATTTCTCGCAATTGGTTACAATACTTGCACCCAAAGCATAGGTCCACTTTCATACACACTTTGTCCATTAAAATATGTACACAATTGAATCGTAATAGCTATGCGTTTATTTATTTATTGCAACCCAAATTCACGTATGCAATATTATTATTCTACAAGCAAATATTGTCCATGGCAGTTTATACAAGCATATGAATTTGACAGGAAAAGCGCTTCCTCTTTGAGATAGTTTATTTATACGGAATTTATAGCTTTATAAACTCTCACTCACTCACTCATCATCATCATCACCACTTTCCATGCAAGATTCATTCATTAAAATAACAACAAGGAACTTGCCTAATTCTTGACTAAAAATTGACCTTATATGTATTTACATATGTGCATATCTGTATAGAGTCATGGTGTCATCCATCATCGTCAAGTCAGATAAAAATGTCTGGAACGTCTTCGAGTGAGTGCAAGAGTAGCGAATAAAAATATGCATGCAACACGAGATGATGATTTAATTTGCAATTTCATATCCGTTAAGTAAACTCAAATACGTTATTTAATTTTTGTTTCATGAAAATTGTTAGCATTTGCTAAAATTATAATTATGCATCATGCAAGTTGATGTCATTCAAGAATTATTGCAGAGGATATAATTCACTTATACTACTTATTGCAGATTAATGACCACTGAATAATTCGACCAGTCAAGGAAAATTTTCCCTTTATATACATCTTTTATTAAAAGTGTGGGATATCTTCAGACTGACGTAATTTAATGATTACTACTGGAAGAGGTTTGAATGAGTTGACAGTTAAATTATTATATGTAACTGCCAAATTGCACATTCATATTGCTAACCATTTTTATTTTTAATTCGAGTGAAATATGCACTGTCCTGGAAATTCCGCACCTTCTTCAATCGTCCACCAAATACCACCAATCTTTGCACAGACTTTTGTAATTAATGTATTGTATGTGCATGCATATTAGCAATTTCATGTTTAAATTCCGGCCGGGATCAGTTTGGTCTTTTGTAAAACCATGCATAAGTCAAAAAAGAGTGAAAGTTACAAGTGTAAAGTTTAAATTAAACGTTCAATGTCAAAATGGTAAAAGAAGTGCTTTTATTGGACATTCCAGTTAGAGAAGTTCAGATTTCAAATAAATATTATTTTCTACTATTTGTGCTTGCATTACATACACATTTCACATATACACGTATGCATGTATTTTTTATCTACACATATTTCATAATTGTATCTTATCATGATACCCAAAAAGACCCATTCATCCAACAATCTCACACTACTACACAGTGATCCTCCTAGTTTTAAGCAGTTGTTAAAACAAAGCTTTTGTAAACAGTAGGGCATCCGCCAAGCAAGGGCTGCTCCTCAGACAGACGTACAGACAAATTCTTTCAACCGAAATTACTAAAAGGCTTCTTACACGCGTATTATGAAGACGTAAAGAAGAAGTTTTAGTCAAGTGAAGCCTTTTTATGGGTACAAAGTTAAATAACTTTGAGAACGGGGGGATGATTTATGAAGTGCCATAGCCTGACTACTGCTGAAGTTGAAGGTACTGCACGTCCAATGAATGGTCCAGCGAAGCAGCATGCGGGATTGGAATTAGAAAACCTTTTTGGAAACTGACGGAGCCCAATTTCACGGCCAACTTCCTCTTCATCTTTACTAACTAGACATGTGCATGTCTTAAATACGGTGTCAAATCTCTATTAATTATGGACTCGTTATTTGTCTTTATTTCCAGAAAATAGCACATTCATGCACCAAATCACGTTTTTACCATCCTAATCTCAAGTTTGCCCCAATAAAACTATGTATGAACTGCACATATGTAATCTAATAAATAAGGGAAAACTATACATGGGAAGCGTCATTTCATTATTCGCCTCTGGATAAAATTGTACACACAAAAAACTATTTTTATCCAGGTGACTACCTACCAGCTTGACAAGGTAATGTACATCTTAACATTAAATTTAATAAACTTTTGGAGACGTTACAACAAACATAACCATTATTAAGTAGCGTCAGCTACTTATTGTGATCGTTTTGTCCGTCCGTCTGTCCGTCCGTCAGCAGGATATCTCCAGAACGAGTCAAGATAATCAAACGCGGTTTTCACCATTGTGCTTCTAATTTTTAGTTCTCGGTCGAGTTCGAAAATGGGGTCAATCGGACCACCCCCCACAGCGCCAGGGGGTGTGGTCCAAAATTAAATTCACGTTAATTTTCATATGGGGTATCGTTTTAAAGGAAATTTCGCCACGAATTCAATGACGCCAATATTTTTGACCTTTGACCTCGTCGCTAAGGTCATGGGGTCAAAAAACACTTAATTTTCATATGGGGTATCATTTTAAAGGAAATTCCACCGCGAATTCAAAGACGTTAATATTTTTGACCTTATGACCATGAGGACGAGGTCAAAGGTCAAAAGATTCATAATTTTCATATGGGGTATCATTTTAAAGGAAATCCCACCACGAATTTGAAGACGTTAATATTTTGGACCTCATGACCTTGAGTACGAGGTCGAAGGTCAAAATATTCACATTGGTCATATGGGGTGTCATTTTAGAGGAAATTTTACTGCAATTTCAAGGACGTTAATATTTTTGACCTCATATACGGAAACGTTAAAGGAAACTTGAATCGGTCTGACGCTACTTATTTACATTCGTTTGGAGGGTTTATTTATACATACAAAACTGTTAAGAGAAGATGAAGGGGTGGTCGTGGTCGTGGTTGCCCGTTTAGCTGGATGGATATTTGTGTATGCATGTATATAATACTAATAATCATAAAAAACTCGGAGGTGGAGGAGAAGGTGGGTACGCATGTTTAAAGATTTTTTAAACATGTTAAAGAGAAGAAGAAATGTACATATACAACGCTCCTCGTTGTCGGAAGAGAAGTTGTACGCATTTGTAAATGAAGAAGAAGAAGGTGGCAAAAAATCTTCCATCCAAGGAATTTAAAGAGTTAAGAAAATAAACGCACGGTGACAGCCAGAGTCAAATGCAGCCATGAAACCGAGAGAGAGACTTGAAGGAAGAAATTAAAACAAGACAGGTTAATATTATGCCTACAAATTATTCAGAGTCCTCAAGTCCTATCTTTGTTGTGTACCTGCTCAACCTTAATTTTCAAGTGAGAGTATCTTACGTATTTTTACCGGCAGTGTACATACGCTTATATTCAAAATAATTCCTAGAGTCTTGAGGAACAATCAATGTACGTACATGTGTTTATGCATGAAGTACAGTTTTTTAAGGCTCCATGTACATACAATCAAAAGGCGACTTCCTTTGCATCGTGGAACGCATTAATTTTTAAAATTGAATCAAGGGACACCTCTCTCTCTCTGACAATATATCATTAAATATTCATTCATTTTTATCATGATTTGTCATTCCAGAATAACTTCTCATATTCGGTATCCATACAATAAATCTAACTAAACAAAGGTTCCAAATATGGATAAAAATACAGGGATGAGAATCAAATAAATCGGGATGATGATAACTTAATTTGGGATTCGACTAGCAAGTAATGCACATTGTTCAATTCTTCAGGGACGGGCATGCATGTATGTACTTGGTTTTAAGATGTTAAAAGAAATTGGACAAATATTTGAAAGCCAAGCCACGGCTTAAAAGTAAATCTGTGTAGCTAGCAAAAGTTTTTTTTTCATATCACTAAATTACCGAGATATGTCTGCAATAGTGAAAAATTCATATGCGAATTGTACCAAGATTTACAGTTGATTCAGCCATCTTCAACACCCACGCTTTTCAAACAATCGAGTTTTGAAGATGACATATCAATTGCAACCACTCTCTAACCTGCCATTGAATAAAATATGTCTGATAAAATATTATTGCAGTACGGAAAAATTGCTCAAATCTCGTTTTAATGCAGCTCTTACTTATATTGCATTCGCTATTGCCACTAAACGAACCAACCAAGCACCATTAAAAATGCAGGTAGTCTTCCATCCATTATTGACATTTAACAAACTCTTCTCTATTTACAAACGACCCCTCCTCCTCCTCCGAACAAAATTCCATTAGATCTGATTACACAGCATAATATGAGCTAAAACTGCTGCAAAGAACTTGAAATATGAAATTTGACGCGTCTTGAATTTCACATTTTGATCAATTTTACATATTTGATTTAGTGAGACGTATCAGCAAATATTTTAAGTCGTAATAATGCATAAAACGTGAATATGCATACATATTTGCAAGAAAAATGTCAACTTGTGCAAATATCTGTATTCCGAATGGCAACAAATCACACATATTTATCCATTTGAATGAAAAAAAAATCTCGAGATTTTATAGCCCAGGGAAAATCTCGTAAAGTTAAAATAATAATAATACGAATACATGAACCGGTGGAATAAGTATTGCGATATGAATCCTTCCTCTCCTTCTCTGGATTTAAAGAAACGCATTTACTGTACTCTCATCTCATGTAATGCAAGTTGCACATGTGTATCTTTCTTTCTTCGCAAGTGCGTGGCGTGACTGGATATATGTGAAAGTTTTATTTTTAGGTTTTAAACAGAGTCGATGATTTTACAACCTTCCGACGTTGTGCATCCTTGCGATGCAATCTTATTCCGAGATAGACGCACTTTTTCTCGGATGATGAATGCAATCGGGATGATAACTTCGGGTCGGAATGAATCAAGAAAATTGAAATGTTTAAAAATTTTCTTAACCTAAAGACGACTTATTTTAAGGAACAGTGCATCTACAAAAATACATCTTTGAACTTGGTGTTTGCATAAATATTAGTCTTTCTATCCCACCTTTAACTTTCTACATATAAGGTATTTAAGAGCAGAGATGAGATGAAAATGTTAAGCTAAACAGAAAAGTTCCCCTCGTAATATTTACTGTGCTTATGCCTCCCCTTTATTTTAGAATTTAAGGCACCATTCAAATTCATGGCTCCTGCTACCCTATTCTCTTCAAACTCGGTGATTACGTCTGATTGGAGTCTGATTTAAAGTTTTCGTGTCAGTTTGGAGGAATGCTGCTGCTGCTGTTTGGTGTGTATTTATAATTTGGTACATCTTTACAGATTCAGTTGGTTAATTTTGGGGTCTAATAAAGTGAGAAACACAGGCACATACACATTCTCACTAAATTAATGTGTACCTTGTTGAAATAACGGTGAAACTGCTATTAACTGCATCCTCCGTCCTTATACGGCGTTTATTAAGGCGGATGACAATTGCCTGGCCTTCTTTCTCCCTTTCTCTACCATATTAAATGGAACTTTTTTTACGATATAGTGATTTAGTGAGTGGGTAACTAACTGCACTCAACTGCATTAAATATTGACTATAGATACATATGCACACAAACTCTAATAAATATTAATGCCATGCAATGTCATGTCATGCCTTAAACATTTTACAAACACTTAACCGGTTAAACTCATCTCCACCACACGAGAGTAATAAGTAAAAAGTGCATTGAGTGCATTACAAACACAACCCACGTTGATCTTATTTACCAACATCACACATATCCAAATGCATACATACAATAGCCAGCCAACACAAACTTGTTCCGCTTAATTGGATGGAAGACCGCAACTTAATCTAATCCTACGTAATCGCTTTTAATGAACTGATCAAAAGTTATTTATGTTTTCTGATAAGAGAGAGAGAGCTTATGTCGAGTGTTACTACACTAAACTACCGCAAGAATCCTGAATACGAGAATGAAATGAATAGTCAAAGCATAGTTGTCGTCTTCATGTCACGTATTATCGACCCGGTAATAAATTAGCTTATCGAAATCGAACCCTTTTGACAAGTTTTTATAATTACAAATAGTCCCCAATTCCAAGGTTTTAAATAAAAGTTACTGCTTACCCCGACCGATTGAGCCGGACTTATTAACAGGGCGTCCAAGATTATCCAAAATATTAGCCTGAAAGTTATACAACAAGTACGTATTAAATTTAGGTACATCCTTGAATGTTTTGCTGAAATTTTGCCCTCATTTTTCCGCAAGGTTTGGCGAGACACATTATTATTTGGTTTTTGTGATTCGATAGGATTGGGTGGAGGAGGGACGTATGTACGCAGCGTCACACTTTTATTAGGCTCATCAATTCTTGAATATTTTGCATTTGATAAAATAATTCATTCAAAATGAATGTATAAAATCGTTTGGGACGTTTCAGACCAATAGCAATACTTCTGCTGACTGGTTCATCTCTCCATCCAATCCAACATCAACTTGACCTGTGGCCTTTATGTGGAGAAATTCATAACCAAAATTCAACATTTATTATTGACCTGAATATCCGATTTGATAATAATTACGTATTGTAGAAACTTTGAATAGTCAAATATGTAAATAATCATGGTCAAATTCATGGCTTAGAAAAAATAATATTTACCAATTCCACGCCATCGAGGTGCACATTTTCCATCTAACTTTCATAAAGCAAGGGATACTATCACAGTTTCCATTCATTCTTCTCTCCAGTCTCCCTTACACGAAGGGAATAAGGCCGGATTTACACAGAATTTGTAGGTAATAGTACCAATTGGTAGAAACTATCCCACAAGGCTTCACTCCTTATGAAATACTTCATTCATGGAACTGCTGCTGGTGAACAAACATCACTTCCGCCCTCGGATTTTTATGTAGTTATACAAGTCCGAGCCCTGTGTTGGTAAGTATTGGTCGCCTTATCACCTTCAAACGAACGAGATTCTCACTTCCTTCTGACACTTTTCTCTGATAATCCAGCACTACATGCAACCAGCACTTTAATATTATGTAGTCCTTCTCTGTAAAAAATACTCTTCCTCCTTCCTTCGTTTCAGCAAATGACTAGGAATGAGATGGGCACATGCAAATTTCTACATCACATTTTTATTATATGACAACTATACATTCACTCGAATTAAAGTCCATCCCTTCTCGTAATCATCCATGATTATGAAATTGATGATTTATTTATGATTGTTTTATGATCGATCATAAAACAAAAAGTTTAAGTCCAGTAAGATTTCTGACGGTAGTTTTCAGTGCGAACCACACTGCACCACACCCACAACAGTCAAAATTAATCCATCACTTTAAAAAAATGAGAGAATTTTCCAGATTTTTTTTCTCACTCACACACAACACTGATTCTTTCATACATACAACAATGCCGTGGTGCTGATCAACAATGGTGTAGAAAATACTGTGGTGGGCACTTTTTTATTGTTGTGCTGTGGCCATAGGGTCTCAACTCTCGTATTATATCCTCAGATTCGAAATGCGTGTCGGCCAAACACTGAAATCTTACTGACTTGGTCTCATAAAGGAACTCTTGTTCTTGGCCACGACGACTGAACCTCTCTCTTCCTGAAGAATTCTCCAGCAGTTACATACATTTTCTTGAGAATACGACGAGATTGCATTGGGAGGAAGATGTGGAAGAAGTAAGTAGGACTTTTAATATGTTCGTTTGCGTCTCAACTTTTACTCTTCGTTCGTATACGCGACGAAGCCATTGCTAACTTGTAATAATAATGAATATAACAGTGCAAGCTTGTCTATCCATCCATCCGTAAGTAATAGATGTGGAAGGAAGGGATCATCTTGGCTTGGGGAAACTTATGAACGAGTAAGTAACATTTATTCAATCACGCTTTGTGTTGGCGTGAAAAAGATAAAGTGAAGATTTCATTTTTTTATTAGATACAAAAGTGTGTAATGTAATGTACATAAAGGTGAATGGTGTGTACACATAAATGCGGACTAAGGTAAAGTTAGTCTCAACTTTCTTCAAAATATGTGCAACAATCGATTGTTGGAAACTTTAATATTGGGAGATTTGTATGAAATTTTGTAATCTTGCAACCTGTATCTAATGAGATGTGCGATTCATATGACTTTGAAGTGATCTTCAACAGTGTAGCATTTTTATGTATTATTCTCGGAGACTCATTCATCAAAGGAGTATTTACTCTAATATTTAATTGACAATTGCCTAATAAACCTCATTAGGTGAATATAAACTTGAAAAACTTCTCAAAACACTTTGTGTCACCAAAATCAAGCAAACATTATGCGACCGATACGACAGCATGAAATTGAAAAACTAAACCGATAGTTTTTTATGCTTTATAAATTTATCAGAAATCCTGCTCGTCATTTTTTCCAAACGCATTTCAAATTTCGGTTATAATTACTAAATTGAGTCCTAATTTTGAGCATCAATTACCAAGTACACACGTTTGGTGTTCAACAAAGGAATGAATTCGCACAGTTCTCCCAATCTTTGATCACCCACGCCACATAATCGCTTTAAAAAATTGCTTGCATTCAGAGGGCTGGTCTAAGCTATTGATGATGCCAAGTAAGATGCATGCATATGTACATTACGGAGCTTGACCTCATTTGACGAGGGGTCTGCGTCATCATCATCATCATAATCATCATGCCGGGTGTGAGTGGTGCCGGCCGTGTTAACTCCAATTCTTCAATTTCTTCATTCATCACCAAATCATCTTTCACTCTCCTAAAAACATATTTGATAAGATTCGTTTTGGTGGTAGTGCCCCACAAAAATTTATGAGAATGTCGTTCAATTAATCAACCACAACCTTTAGAAAAAAGTGTCTAAAGCTAGCTCAAAATATTATTATTTTGTATGCATGTAACTTGACCTGGAGTCCTGGATGAGCATGTATGCAACAATGAGAGAAAAGACCTTCAAGAATTACCTGAAATCCAACACCAGCTTTGTGCATCAACGAAGAACGAATGCAAGTGTTGTGTGTAAACATAACACATTTTTTTATTTACAAATTTAAGCTTGACCTTTTTGGCGTGATCTGCCCATCAGCAAATAATAGTGCAGGTGTCAGGTAATCGGTGCATGTTGAAATATCACGATTTTTCTCCACCCATCACATTACAGATAGATAGATATCCATACATCAACCTTTCTTTCTCGCCCACAAGATTTATAGAGATTCTTTTATAAGTAAAATTAATATGTGCATGTGCATATGTAAAGAGCATCCACTAAGGTTTTTGACTGACGCAATAAAATGCTCAGAACTTTTTACACATTTAATGTAATTTCAAAAAAATTGCATATGTTTACTACCAAAGGGTTTGGATTGCCATACAGTTCAAATTTTAATGATTCAATTCCGCTGTCTGCTACAGATTGCATTTTCTTCTTCCGATTTCGCGTCAAATTCCTCCCATAGACTGCACCTACTTTCAAGCTGATTTTCTTCCATCTGTTCTTAAATTTTCGTAAGGTGTCTGGCGTTTCTGAAAGCTTAGAATATTTGTACTTAGTCAGCGCTCAAAATTTCTCAATTGGTCGCAGTTGAGGAAAATTAGGTGGGTTTCCATTTTTTGGCACAAATTCAATTTTTTTCAGATGTCAGTACTGAGTGACCTTTTTGGTGTCATAGGACCTTGCGAGGTCAGGCCAAAACAAAACTTTATTTTTTTATGATCTTTAGTAATAAAAGATTCCAATCCACCTTTAATGCATGATTTAAGATAAACCCCCTGGTTTACAGTGCCCTCCAAAATAACGGGATCGGAAACATGACCAATGCTAGACATGCGTTGCCAAATTCTTCATTTTTTTGTGAATTGGTCTTTCTTTTGGACTTTGTCTTCATATTTTGCTTCACAGGGGTTGGAACTATGGAAAAAATGCCTTCCTGGAAGATTTGAAGTGTCATCTGTGACGTGGGGCTCATCGCCCATAATGACCACTTTTCCCCGAATCTTCTTCAACAATTTCTTCCAGCACGCATGAATCCTTTCCTGTTGTGTTGGTTTGTAATTTGATGCTGGTTTTTTTGCCTTGGCTATAATCCCTAGTTTATGGACTTTGATTTTGCACTGATAGCTTTTTGAAATCTTGACCTTACTTGCGGCGCCAGCCGTTGTCGTTGATGGATGATTTTTGAAGATTTTTTTAATCCGATTTTTGGCTTTCGTCGTCGCTAGCTTTGCAGATCGACCAGTGGGGACTTTGAATTTGAGTTCATTGGATTCCTCGTACTTTTTTATGTAAGAGTTGACATTTGAAAGAGGAATACCTTCTTGCTTGAAAAAGTGCCAAGTGATTTTACAACAATTGTTTGTTCGATTTTTGTGAAACTCAATCACTCTTTTTTTCAACTCTTGCCTTTCAACCCAAGTTTTTCTAGTCTTAGCCATGACTCAATAATTGGTGACATATATCAATGGAAAGCTTATAACTTGGCCTATTCAAAAATAATTTTTTCGAAATTTAATTTCGCTGTGTTCCCGCCTAGCGCGCCTTTTATGGGGCAGTCAAAAACCTTAGTGGATGCTCTTTATTCCCAGCTTCCAGGTAAAAATGATTGATGTAGAATTAAAATTCGTTTGAAATCAGTTTGGTTAGTATTCATTTGAAATGCACGTTTCATATTATTATTATTACTATTATTATTATCAGTATAATTACTATTGGTAGTATACATCATTACATTTAGTTTATCTTCTAAAAGACTATTATCCACATATTATCCTGGTTGGGATGTCTATTTGCATAATATATATTTTCTTGTATAGCAAAAACCAACTCATATATAAATAAATATAAGCTGCAGAGCGACTATTATTATCATCATTATTATAATTCAACTATTTATATCAAATCTCTCAATTAAATTGCGTTGCATTTGTCAAACGAAATTCGTTTGTTTTGTTAGTTGTAATTGTAAAAAATAACTAGTAGTATGTATGTATAATAATAATAATTAATAGTACAATGTATGTACATCTATTGAAACTTTGGTTCTCTAAAAAAATGTTTTTTGACTACTACTGATTGTTTGCGTGTACCGTGCGGTTTGTAATATAGGTTTTTGTTCTATGTATGTATTATGACACTAGCAACACTATTCGGTCGATGCGATGAGCGGAATTTCAGGGTTGATTGATTATCGACAACATTGAAAGCGTGGAATTTTTATGATGATGTATGTACTAATGTACTAAGTAGGTAATCCATTATTAACACGAGAATCCAATGACTTCGAGCACAGAGACTTCAAAATCTTTCTCCACGGCCAACGGTGGGTTTTGAAATGTTGAACATGTTTCAGATTTTCCAAAGCGCAAGTCTTCATCCAAACAAATTCCTTGGCCCTCCCTGATAAAGTAATTTAATGATTTAATTTATCTAAACACCAAATTCTGGAATAATTCTCGTAATTCGGTATATATTTATGCATGTACTTACCCTCCTCCTATTGAGATCATATGAGTATCAGCATGCATAAAAAGTTCTTCCCCTCTCCCCTTTCGTTTAGCATTGTTCTGTAAAGATGGGTCTTCATTTTCAATGTCTTCGTCAACCGGTATTGGTTTTATTCCGACCCATGGATATTTTTTTCGTTCAGGCCACAAACTAAATAGAAACGTTTCTCCAGTTCCAAAATATCGTTGTCGATCACCTTTTTCATCCTTTTCGTTCCTTGCACCCCAATGAGATGAGCAATAAGCTCCAAACACCTGCAACATACAATATAGAATTATTTCATAACATGATAATGCGCAATTCTACGATTAGTGCGATTTGACATTTGGCCAGATGCAGAAATTGTGCAATACCATTAAATGCAATGGACGATTAACTAATATTATAATTAGTTAAATCAAAAGTCTGGTTATTATCATCAATTGCATTAATGAAACTTGACAAGTTACCTCATCAGTCGTTGTCTTGATTATTAAGATTGTTGGCTCGTGATTTTCCACCCGTTTAAAAAATGTTGTCAAAGAACATCCATGTTCTTCCGTAGTGTAGAGCAGAACGGGTTGGTACATTGTGATCCTGATGGGAAGCCATTGCCACAGTGCTAGCAACTGTAACAGTAAAACAAAAGATCAACTTATATATTAATATATGATAGACAATTTAGTGAAACATGGTTTTGTTACGATTATATCAATAGCAATCAGAGAATATACATAGGAAAAATGACGCGACTTTGACTTACGGACTCTCTAGAAGCGACAGAATTGATATTGTTAAGAGGATATGAACCCATAGAAGGGCTTCTATGCTCTGGGGAACTTTTCCCCTGTGATGGTGTTTGTAGTTGATCATTATTCCGAACAGATTTATTGTTAGTGTTATTATTCCGAGATTTTGCGAGCAATTGTCCCATTACAAATTGCGACAAGCACAATAACACGTAACCAGACGTGGGTTATTGGTGTAGGGACACATTTTCCAGATAATGGACACAGGCAGCATGAAAAGATTGTTTTTGAAAGATTGAGCCAATATTCAATACCAATCAACATATCCAACAATATGGTAGAGATTAAGAGATCAAATGCAAAAGAAACAATTGGGCATGCATAATAAGGATAAAGTAGACAATGTACAGGAATTCAACTACAATAATGTACATAAAAACTGAAAACAGAAACTAATGTCAAATCTGCATTCTTAATGAACTACATGCAAAAGCAGAAACCAATATTTGCGTAAATACCGATAGAATGAGTAATGTTATGCAAAACATTAGCGAGTAAAACCGTGCAAAATGAAGCACACACAAAATATTTCCTTAATGTGCATACAACATAAAATGTACCTATTGAACATCAAGTAAGATATAGCTCACCCTCACCTCTTTAATAGCCAGCGTATGTGACATCATCTGAATATCCATCTGAGACTGACTCGAAGGAAGATTTTCGTTGGATTTCGATTTTTGCATTTTATTGCCTCCTCCTCCCCCTCCGACTCCGCCTCCTCCGGCTCCAGGACCACGGCTTTTTAGCACCAATTCCACTTTTGTAGAAATTTTCCGAATCTCTGCTCCCCTGAAGGCTCTGATTGAAAAGGCCGATTTCAGAAGCCTTTGAGGCGTGAACTGAAAGTTAATGCACATACTTTCTAACACAGAAACAGTATCCTTTATTTTATTCATGTGTAAATTGGTTTGGGCAAATTAACTTTAACTTGATTAGGGGTTTTCTTAAATTCTGAATTTATCTCGTTCTTAAGAATTTTAACACGACACGTATTTGTTGATCTATGTACTGCACAAGCTTGACTGGGTCAACTGATTATGTCACCAAAGAAGTAGCGATTGAACCAAATACGAGATGGTGGTAAACAAGTGGGAAAAAATGTTGTTATCGATAAGAACCATAATTTCATGTTGCATCAAGTGAAGGATTGCAAAATGAAATTGGAATTTGTGGGACAGATAAATTTATGGCAAGTTTCTTTACAAAATAAATACACAGGGAAGGAATAATTTAAGAGTGGGACTAACGATGGTTGCAATATCACTGCAAAATTTTGATATCCCAATCTCAAGTCCAGAGGATTCGACGAGATTAGACCATTTGGAATCAGAGCCACAGGCCTTGGTGAAGGAAAGAAGTAGTGCTAATGCCACACGGTACAAAACTTTAACTCCCTCCATCAGAAAGCAGTCGATTATACGGACCTGGAAATTATTAACGAAATACATTAAATGATGACATCAACACATTGCAATTCAAGATCAGTTAAAATATGCAAATCTCAAGAAATCGACCAAACCACCTGCGCTTAAAAGATATTGAGATTTGCCAACAGTATTTTTTTTTCTTTGGCTCGTATTGATTTACGATCAAAACACTAAACCAATTAAACTAACCAAGCTGTGTCAAGTTCTTTGATACGCTCATACATATAACCACATTAATCAGATATATGTAGCGACTAATATCAAAGACACAGCTTTCTTGGTTGGCTTAATGAATGGATTGGTTAAGGTATTAAAAAGGATAAATTATTATTGTTATTGTTAATTTTTTTAATGCGTATAAGACGTACCGTATGAGAAAGGGGTAGATCTCTGAATATCCACCATATCCATCCTTGGAAAACACTTTCAATCCTTTCTCCAGGTTGGAGATTTCGCTGAATTGTAAAAGAAAATATTATTTACAACTGTCTTTCTTTATATGTTCACCCAGAAATCAATCACTTGAATCAAAAAATCACCTACCTGAATGAATGTGAAGGCCGGCTTCTGTGGATTGTACATACATAAGCGGAAAATTATTATCAATTAGGTTACTAAATAATTTAGTCTCATATTTTCTTACGGAAAACTTTTTGGTGAGATTCATTGCAGTCTGGAAGAAAATAAATAAACGCTATGACATGATGACACCAATACATAATATTATGATTGGTATCTCTTACAGTATAAGTCACTTCCCATTGTAGCTTCGTTTGTGTTAGAAAGACTTTGTGTTTGGCTGACAAAAGAGTGCACATTGAGTTATATGTTTTCTCTTCCTGTTCAGAACCAACAAAAAATAAAAATTACACAATAATTCGAATATATACATATTTAATTTAAATGTATTACTACCTGAACGTAGTGCAAAAACAGGGAAGTCAATGGAAGCAAAAGAGGACAATAAGTGATTTCTGGATAAGCATAGCCCACAACTGACACGATTCGATCCGTAAATTTTCTCCCTTCGGCCGACAATCCATAGTAAAGATGATAGTGAGTATCCGTAAATGGTGGGAGGTGCAAATTTCCTGATGGCAGCTCTAAATACAAAAATTATACTTGTTAAATACAGCAAAATACTTCATATTTTTCTATATAATCCACCTTGAGATCCATAAATTTGACTGACAGAGTCCCAATAGAGACCATCCAAACTTGTTCGAGTGGCTTCATGAATTGAGGAGAGGTGTGGCCAAAGTCGAGATCTAATTTCCTCGTTAAGTTCCCAATCGCTATCTCGCACATTAATTTTTGCCTCCTTCACTTTCCCCGCAGTCAATTGTTCTTTAATCTCTTCGTATGCAGCTTTCTTTTTCCGGGTGATCGGAAGTGCAGAAACGACGGCAAGTTGCTTATTCTGGTCTCCATCATCCTTGTTGGAAGGGGACGATGAAGAGGAGGAACCTGCCGTCGCCTTCAAATCAACCCACGCTTGGAGACCTTGATTCATCGGAACACTGCTTTCCCTTCGAGTCTTTCTCCGCTCCGCCAACTCCCACCCGAGCTCAGTGTCACTGTCTGCAAGGTACAAAATAGAGTTACAATTACACTCGAGTATTGGCAACATTTGCAAATTTTTTAAGAGATTAATGTTGATTGAAAAGCCAGGACAATGAAATTATAATGAGCAAAAAAAACTTGAAGTCATAAATGAATTCATTCACCATTATATAAAAAAGATTCTGCAAGCTGTCCATAATTGTGGGCATAATAATTACAATCCATAAATAGCCGATTATTTGGATCCGTCGCAACTGCTTCGAATAGCTGCCACCAACCCATTTTTATTTCCGTTGTTTAAAAACAGATAAAGTCAGGTGTCGTGTATTTATGACACTTTTAATAGATTTTTTTGCTGATCTAATTAAGGCCGATGACAGTACGTGTGACGGTGAATTTTAATATTTTACTGTAATACTGAGAGATTTTTTGACAACTGTTCAACTATTTAATAGCTTAAAAAATTTTTCATATCTAAATATACTTTTGGAAATAGATATTATTTTCTATGAATTTATGTAACAAGAGATAAAAATTAAAAACTAAAATTAACAAAAAATAGCAAGTTCATCTAATGTAATACAATTCCTAGTGCATTTGTCTCAACATGGGAAAACATGACATTACACATCCAATTTCATGAAACTATATATTTAATATCCATGAAGGAGTAGGATTTTAGCACTTTAGCACGAATGAAACTTGACGGGCGAGAAGATGCATTTCACTTAATCAATAACTTATTCATGAACGTTTCCAACCAATTCTCGTACATTTATTGAGTCAACAAAAACACTTTGTTTGTTATATATTATGATAATTCACACTAACAGAAACAAAAGCACTATTCTGAGCAAACTGATCGTACGTATATGAATCACATATTGTACTAGGAATAGGAACCATTTAAATCTTTTATGATCACAGTAAGAAATTGTTGACAGAATCTGCGTCTTAAACTCGGAATAATTTAAAGTACATAGTCGCTCCTGGATAATCAGGTAGTCAGTCGTTAAAAATATAATATTTAAACTTTAATCACATTCTTTAAAAATTTTACCACATGTGCAATGCTAAAACTTGTAATATTTGCAACAAAATAACGCTGAATTCAATGAACCAGTTGTCAGTCAGTGTAAATAAATAACAAAAACAGCCCAGCAGCCGCGTGGAAATTGTCGAAATGCAGCAGCAAGTATACACGGTGGAAGGAAGTTTAGGAGGTTTGCATTGTATGTATTTGTATAATAGGAGGTAAAATAATTTACACATTTGTTACGCAACCAATTCAAACTGCACAGAACAAGATGATACACATATACATACGCAAGAGAGGAATTACCTATGTGTAGCATCATAATACCGTCTAATACCTAAATTTGCATGGCTTACAGCTTGCATTGCATAGTTGCATGTTCCTGCCCCCAACACTTCCAAAGCTCATGTGTTAAATACGCTCTGCATTCATGATGATCAACAAAAAATATATTTTTGCATTGCAGTGATATATTTAAAACTGTTTAGCATTTGCATTTTAAAAGTATGCAGATATTTTGTTGTCCATAATTTTACGAATGTTAGAAGTATGCACTGACTGCAATTTAGTTGTGTATGTGTATGTATGCATGATGCAACTTTCCATGTTCTCGCTAATAAGGATGTAATTTAAAGCTAAGGATAAATTTAACACGATTAGATTTGAAGGTTTTCTAAAGGGAATTTTAAACCTGAAATGAATTTATTGTGCATTTTCTGTGAGAGATGACGCTCATATGAATTGTTTAAAATAAATTGCAAGGGAAATTTGCTCATTTAGTGAGTCCACCGAATTTCTTACCTAAACTGGAATTTGAATCATACACGAACGGGACAGAAGACCTCCTTCGTAAAAGTTTACTCTTGGTTGGAACTTCATCATCGTCAGAATCAAACTCATTGTAATGCTCGGAATCTTCATCCGTCCCTTCGCCAATAGTAAAGAAAGCACTCGGCCTGCGCCAAGCTCGGGCAAACTTGGGATTGTCTGAAAATTAAAGAAAATTAAAGAAAACATTAGGTAATTGCAATATTATCAACTAAAATTTTTCAAAAAATCAATCATGTTTAATTTAAATAATCGTACTTGGTTTAGCCATCATGACAATTGTTTTTTATTAGCTGGATTGGTATAGAAGAATCTTCTTGTGGATTTTATATCGTACTTTACATGCACTTCACATATACTTGTTTAAATAACTTAAACAATTTTTTTTAAGTTTCTAAAAACTTTATAGAAACTTGACTCGTTAGAGCACGGATGCTATCACTGCCTAACGTTGACTAGAACTGTATCTATCGTCTTAAGATTTGCAGACACAAATACTCTCGGTATGTGTGAACAAAATGTTTTGTTTACAAAGTCTTTGCACTTTGTTACCTGACTATATATATGCTTTTACTAAACGTTTAGTATGATAGACAAACAACTCGTTCATGGAGAGTTGTTAATAAGCAAGGAATATTATAAACTGAATATGGTTTAGTCTTGTTTTTTTTTATTTGTTGATACAAAAACTTGGATCAGTTGAAGAAAAAAACAATTATTTTGAAAACTTTGTGAATACAATCTCATTTTGTTTATTTCAAGTTGCGTATTTATGTATGGCGTTGATCTCATACGAATGAAATTTCAACGACCTGAAAAGCACCAGGCTGGTGAAAGACTAAACTCATAAAACTGGAGACTGTCGACTTGATCTAATAAGTAATATGTACATATACCCTTCCTTCTTGTTATTAGAGGTGCAACACTTATGTAGGAGTGTGTTAAATAGGTTGACTAAAAGCATCCTACATAAAATCTACCTATCCCATCCCCACAGGTTTCTATCTTCCTGTATATGCTACCAGAGATACATAATAGGTGAGGAATAATATAGGGAAACCTGACAATGAGTGAGTAAAGTCTGCAGCAGAGTTAACTATTTACAATTGGTTGTATAATTTAATAAATCACTGACTGAGCTATTTAGTCTCCGTGGTTCGTGTTACCTTTCAACGACTTTGTGTCGTCGTATGTACATGGATACATAGATGAGAAAGTAATTTGACAATAGCTTTACTTTACTGTTGCAAGTGTACCATTTTAAGAAAATACATAACAACGTGATGCTGCTCACATATATTTATTACATGAGTGAGATTTCACAGATTGTGTGAAAAGGAACCTTAATTTTGACAAGATTTTTCTGGAATATTATCACTTCTTCTTATCATCAAGCGAGTAACATAAAGTCTAAATAAACATTTATGTACCACAAGCAATGAACTCATAAAGGAGCAAAATCTGTTTCAATTCTTGACAAGAATTATTTTAGAATAGCATTTTATCTCGGTTGTAACTCTCTCTAAATATATTTTATTTATAGCTTTGCATGTGCACAATTCCATTCCAGTGAATATACTGATAAGAAAATGGATGCAACTTTCCAGTTCCCATTTTCATATTCAATTCACTCACAGATTTCTAATCACATTTATTTTTAAACTTCACAGAACCGTTTAAGAAGATGCGATTACTACATCACCCTTCTCATGAATCTTAATGAACGTAAATAAACGTTTGCTTAAACAACTATTACGAACTACATAATTATTATTCTAATTTTACGGAACAACGCCACACACTAAAATGCAATGAGATGAATCAGTTATTTATTTAGACACTGATCTGCTTAAAATATATCCGGTGTACTTTTTCCATTAGATCACTGACGAAATTTCACCGTATAGTAGATAAAAAGTATGAGTAATCCATGTTCAATCTGTTCTTCGTTGAGGTCAAAGGTGGTCATTGCCTGATCTGTTTAAAAACTAAATGTGAAACACGACGTGTTCGGGTGAGGATACTATTATGTGTATGCTGGCCATTATTCAGTGCTAAATGCAATGACTGCATAATAATAAATAACGTGCTACTGATTTAACCATTTACAGGTAAAGGTGACGTGACGATGGAGTTTGATTACTATGATTTACTGTGCAAAATCCACGTACTAAATTGCAATTTAAAAGGATTATTTGTATGTATGTATGAATGAAGACAGGAACTCGCTATATTTTATTTTGCTTAAACTGCATAGTTTTGATCTGTATAAATTGTGGATGCCAAACAAGGAGGGGGTGAGGAAGAAAAGTTGTAATAATTTTGTGCGTGATTATTTTATTTCATTTACGATGGGGTTTCATACATACATTTTGCACATATGCATATATGCGCCACGCGTTCATTTATCTGTGGCAAAAAATAATGCCTTAGTTTTGTTTTTGCACGGTTCACACACTTTTAATAAGCGTTTTTCCATTATTTGCACCTATATGTACGTATACGTATTTTAGCAGCAACTTACAACTGCGTAGATTGTTTATTATTGTAGTAAATGATTATTTAATTGAACTAAAAATGACATGACAAATAAATCTGCAGCTGAATAAGTATAATGAACCAGGTAAACAAATTTCACTTATTGACAAAATATAATGGGAATCAGTGTTTGATTTTATTTTTAAACTTCAAGCGCATCAAATATTTAACCTTAATCATAATACTGCTTGTGGGAAATTTGGAAGAAGGTTAAACCATCTCTATTTATACGATGATCAATTATTATTGGGGGAAACTGTTGTGGAGTTATTTAAAAAATACTAATATTTTATCGGAACATACATCAACAGAATGAATACAAATATTGTTGTTCAATCAAGCTCATCATCCTTCCAAATTTCATTACTCACAGATCGCATCGCGCCGTAGATCAGATTTTTATAACAATTGGTAAATCATTACATATTCTGACGAGTATGTAGACACGTATTTATTTCTACGCAGGAATTACTTCAAAATCAAATATCGATGTTTTGATCATGTTGAGCCAAATTCCGGTCGGCATTTCCATAAGAAAAGAGTAAAGAATTGATTGAAGCCAAACACCGTGTAAAATTAAACGCATAAACACATAAACCCATTGACTATCTGGAAGTCGAACCTAACGACTTTCTCTCCACTGTACTAAAGATATTGTTATTGGTGTACATGGATCTTTTGCATTATGCATGCATTTTAAGAACAAAATAATGTCTACGTGTCATGTCATTGCTAAAGTCGACTCCCAAATGACTTCAGACATCAATTAGCATCTCATCAACCCAAATTTGAAAATATACACATATCTTTGTACAGTGTACACAGGTGTAAACATGCAAACAACTCTACCCAATCATGAAATTCATATCGATAGTTTTCTACTATTCGTACTACGACGGTCGACGACAGACATGAAACCAATTCTCTCTCCAGCAAATAAGGAACCATTTTTGTGGTTCACAACTATTAGTTAAATACATCGATTCATGTACTGACGTGTTATAATTAAAAAAACCCACGAGTGAATCGAGTACATTTTGGAATTTACTCAAATGCAGCCGGTGAGAATAAATATAATTTCAATTGTTGATATAAAACAATTTACTATCTCATACTTTTCGTTGTATTTATGCAGCCATGAAATACGAAACCTTTCCGCTACCAAGATATCTCATGAATAAGATTGAATTGAGTCTTGTGTTGTGTAATTTACAATTATCACCAGGTGCGGAGTACTCAACCTTAATAATAAAAGCATAAAACCGTAATCTTCATTAGTTACTCAAAATGAACAGTTATGAGAATGCTAAAACAATTATGAACTCATAGTTCACTCGTAATTCGTACTCTTGGCCATTTCTTTGGCACCTTCTCCGTTGTTTGTTGCCTGAATCTAAATTGGCTATATTCTTACAAATATTATGATGTAATAGTACCACTGACCCTACCTAAACCGTAATTATAGTTATCTTAACAAAATACTTGAACAGCTATCAAGTGCAAAAATTGAATAACAATATTATAGGTGCCAGTAGTAAATACTAATGTCGTGAAACAGCTAATAAACAACAAAACCTTCTGCAGGACGTCATTTATGTATAAGCTAAGCGACACAACCATCATATTTTGCCATTTTTAACCTATTTTATCATATTTACGTACAGTGGTATGCATATTAACATGAAATTATTTAAATGGTCCAATAACAATGAACACCAGGCAAAACCACAACACATATAATTGCATTGTGCACCAACATTAATGTTCATTACTTCATTCATGAATACTAAATGTAAATATTCAACAACCTATTCAATTATAATTGTATAAAGACACGTGAGAATTTACAAAATATAATCCTTACCTCAAATCAAATCAGCCTGTGGTTTGGCTTCACCTTTGTATGAGTGATTTGCCAAATATACTTTCACTACACTGATTTTAGGTATTATTGTCCTAATTTTATTGCCAAAAGATGTTCCTTTTATCAAAACACGTGTAGTCTCTTTATTATTAGAAGATAATCATTTGTTCTGTTTTCCTCAGCCAATCAATTATCTATATTTGGAAGAAATCGTCAAATTTGCTTTCTTACTTTCGATTAGAAATCGTCAAAAATGTCAATTAACTAAATTGTTTTTCTTCTCCAGTATAATAATTGAGTCAAGTCGAATAATAATTTAATTATTTTTCTACGTCCAACTAAATTCTCCACCGCCCATAATTTTCCACTCCAGTCAGTACAATTTGTACCCAAGTCAAATGAATATATGTACAAATGATGGCAATGATCTTAGGCAGATATCAGTTAATTAATTAATTAGCCGTTATTGGAATTTATTTTTAAAATATTGGGTAAATTGGTGGAATTGAGGAGTATTATGGCCTTGACGTTTGCCGTCATCCTGTGCTGGTGGTGGTGAAAGTGGGTGGGTGGGCACCGCTTGCTCGGTGAAAGAGAAAGATACAGAAAGTAGAAACTAAACGAAAGTCAGGTGAAAGTCCTTCCTTCTCTCCAACTGCGAAAAAGTTACGAGATGATGATGATGCAGGCGGGGATCGTCCATGTGTAGTTCAATAATTTTAAATTTAAATTTAATTTTTCAGAAACATACATTTCGAAAAGTATAATTGTAATTCATAAAATTTTATGACAAGTTGAAACGTCGTTTGATTTTTTAATTCTTGGACATTATTTGTATGAGATCGGTTGTGAGATGAGATGACGTCATTATTTTAATAAAATTTATTTTATGTGATTGTAAATCATTAAATAAAAGTTAATTAAATATTTCTTGACATTTTCATACATTTATTAAATAAAATTTTGTTAGACTCTGACGACGGAGCTGAATTTACCCAGACCCTCTTCCCCTCCATCTATTGCAACATAGAATTTCCTCAACTGTGCAGAGAGGGATAGTCAATTGGTTCATATTACACGCAGAATAAAATAAACTACTTTTTCATCATTACACATTAATTAATTATTATTAGCTGGAATTTTCCTCTAGCATTGATAGTAAGGATAGCAGTATTATTTTATGGTCAGAATATTCTAGACTTTTTCGTTTCCTTGATAAAATTCGTATCTGTTGTTATTATTTTTATTTAGTACATTTTAATCGAAAGTGGAAGTTTATAAAATCAGAAAATCTCCTTTGTTTCTTCGCAATTGTCAAATCCCACCCATGTCGATGTTGACGTCTTGACACTCGTCCAACAAGTCACACCCACCGTATCAGAAAGTATTTCGCCATGGCGGACGAAGGAGGAGGAGATAATCCTCAAATACCAAAGTCATATATATACATTTTTATCATCCTTATTCTATTTGTGGCTCGAGATTTCATGAACACACCGATGAGCTCGACGACCAAGGGGGACGGAAGTGGGGGTGGTTCCGAGAGAGAGGAGGATAAGATGCTGGTGGATATGGGAGGACCAGGGTCGAGATTATCGGGGAAGATGCCCATGGGACCATCGATGAAGTTTATGTATTGGTATGGACTAAAATTATTGTATGAATTTAAAAATTAGTGTGAGAGAGAATTTAAATATTTGTCTAATCCAATAGCTCCTCCTGAGGGTATCAGAACGTCTTTCAACAGTTTAGCCAATTACTGTTGCAAAGACATCCTGAAATTCTTATCGAGGGTGAGATATCATATCGACTTATCAATTACTAAGTAGTTTTCAATGCAACAATTTTTGTATGTTTATATTTCATTCCGTTTTAAGGTGAAAACTATCCTCCTCTACCAATTAAGAAGCTTGGTGCTCAAATTATGGTAAGAAAAGATGCATAATAAAAAGGAATTGCATTTGTAGTAATAAATAATAACTGAAAATGTCAATTTACAGTCAATTGCTAAGTTTGCTTTCCTTGGCTGCTTGTTTATGGGGACAAATCCGTTCCAAATTCTGGGATTGGGAGGTTACGCATTTTGCCTTAATTTGTGGACGTGGATGCAGTCAAATAAAATTTACGCTTCATTAATGATTTTTTTCCTGAGTAATTTCGTTGAAAATCAACTAATATCTACCGGCGCGTTCGAAATATACTTTAATGGTGAGTAATTAACAAGTAATTGTTTAACCAGGCCAATATTATGACAACGTTAATACTGTTGTATGTTTGTAGATGTCCCTGTTTGGTCCAAACTTCAGACGGGCCGTATTCCTAGTCCTGGAGAGCTATTTCAAATTGTAGATAACCACATGAAACTTGTAAGCACGATGGATGGGCTACATTTATAGAGTAATTTAAGCTAGATCACCAACAAAATATAGAAATTAAGTTTCCCGTGTTGTGATAGTATACTGAACCAAATCAACTGATAATAGTTTTACCTTATCGTAAAATTTTATATTGAATCAATGTGAAGATTTATCCACTGTAATATGTTTTTCTTTATGTACTATTTTTTGTAAAGCTTTGGAAACTTGTAATGTAGGGAAGATAGTGTTTTGTGATGCTCATTTTATTGTGACTGCCCTACTTTGACGAAATTAAGGTCAATACAATTTCTATCTCATGACAGTAAATCCCAAAATCATCTGCGGATGAAGGGTTTTACTCGATTTACTTTTGGTAGAAATTCTTAAACCTCTATTTCAGTATGCAGGCGGTTTTAATAATTTGTAATTGGGTTGCAATTTGTCATCTGAACAACCCAAATTCACAAACTAACTACTTGTTTTAGTGCTGAGTGGAACATGTGTATCAATGGGCTTAAACTGATAATAATTGTTATTGTGAAATTATGGTAGGATCAAATTATGTAAATGAATGAATAAAAAAATGGAGGAAAGGTGTGTATAAACCTTCCCATGAACGAACAAGAAATAATCACCTATTTACGTTAAAATTTTCCTCGTAGTGAATATTGACGACGTATGACATAAGGTTAGCAAAAGTATGTAGTTGAATTTGCTGAAATAGCGTAACAATTATTAGCGTCTTTCCCATGAATCACCCCAACATTACAAATCTTGGGACAGGGAGTGAAAAGTCATTATGGACATGTTTTGCAAATACTGCTGAAGAAACTCCTTGAGAAATATTAACCGGAGTGAGAATTCTGAAGTCCTACTTTCTTTCAACAATATTCTTCTATTGTCATTATTATGTCGAAAATTTGACAAAAATGTGAACCCCAATGGTGCTTATAGAAGTTGGGCTTTTCATAAAATGTGTGTCACACATATGTATGACATATTTGTACACAAATGGAGGAAGTTATTAAGTTGATTGATTTTATCTGCTAGCAAAAAATAAATATAAATATCTACGCACTCCCGTATAGAAAAACTTTCCTAACAAATACATTCATAAAATATGTATTTCCACCCGTCACCCGTATCAATCCAAGCTATATTATAATGTATTGGAAAAATTATCCTACGCTCCACGCAAATGGCAAAATTGAAGCAAATCTACCAAACTTTAACCAGTTTCGGAATGGAGACGCTCCTTCAAGTTGCGAATTAGTACGCGTGAAATAATCGGTATATGCATTTACATTTCTTTGTTCTGTTTCACAAAATTATCGAATATTTACAACTGATACATAATTCTCCATTTTTATAATTTCTAATGCATGCACTTAAATTACTTCATGTTCCCTATTACTGTTCATTAGTACATTAACAATCAAAACCAGTTAATCCAATTTATATATTGTTTTAACTTCAACTTTCCTAAGTACATGGCTAAATCTAAAAGGCTGACATTTATTGATCATTTTGAAGTGATTGACAGGCCTCAGCAATGGAGAAAAGTTGTTCAGTCTGACTCATCCAGTGCAAATGAACAAGCCAAAAATTCCCTCTTTTCCGGACCTCGTTAACAAAAGTCCTAAATAGGTGGACTTTTCCCTCTCCTAATAAACGACATACAGATGCATATTATTTGTGCCTGATTTGCTTTGACTGTTCTGCTTTAAGCAAAGTCAACATATTTAGTTGGTGGGTGGACTGGAAAAGAATGAGTAAATGAATGGAAATGCGATCCGCATGTCGGACCTTGTTGTTGGCTTTTCCATGTTGGTTTAGTTTAGTTTGTCTCAAAGTCAAATAAATAAATGCAAACTTAGGAAGAAAAAGCCGTAAAATTCTGGAATACCAGAAAGAAATATATAACGTCTGCATACGTACGTACGTATAAAATAAACCTCATCTTTCTTCTTTTGGACGGACTTTGTGATACTGCTCAAATGCTTTGCCTTCGTTAACGAGATGTGCCCCATGCTAAGTGCTTGTGGGGAAAGGAATGGCTGAACCGTCGGGAAAATTAACAAAGCAATTAAGTATACCAACATTTGTACGCCGTGTCAGTTTCCAATATACTCAAACATTTCATTTCGAAATGTAGGAGACGACATAGCAGAAAAATTCTGAAGGCTTAATGAATAGCGGATGTTTAATGTTTTCTACTAGTGTATGGAGGATACTGATGGTGATATCTTGGGTGAAATTGATATATGCATGCTTTTAAATTTAGGTTCTAGTACAAGTATGGCAAATATCGTAAGCAAAATTTCGAAAATATTTCTATTTTTCGTAAAATCGTTGAAAACGAAAAAGCCGGAGAAAATATAGTCCAACTTTGCCTTCGAATTTCCACTAAATACTCCATGCATGCATATTGTCCTTAACGGGGCATTATAGTTTGCTCTGGCCGCTCTATCAGCCAATACCCAACAAGAACAAAATCATGATTTCACGCCGATCCCATGCGGGAAATCACAATAGAAACTACGCTACAAATGAAAATACGTCCGCCGTCAATTCGAACTGGGGATCCCACATGGGTGCCCACCTCTTTCCCATTCAGATTCGACTAGCTTTTCGTAGGTATTTTATGCAACAAATGCGCAATTTTAGCGTGGGACACTAATCCCTTCCCCACCATATTCCCACTCGCTATCGCATCTAAAATAATTGTTACAAAACTTCAATTTTCAATTAAGATTTTATTTTAATTTCATTTGAACCATTGGCGTACAAATACAAATGTTTGGATTATTAGTTTTAAATGGTAATACAACGCATTTGGAAACAATAGTGTTCACGTTTACATTTTGCAATCCTTTAAAGTTATTTAGATTAATTTCTAATATTGCTAAGCTAGAACTAGCAATGGGATAATATTTCACCACCTTTTTACAACTTAAAATTCTACAACTAAATGAGTCGTGGGCTAAAATTCGAACCACTTGAATTATTTCTCCTGTATTAAGTAAAAAGTAGCAATCGCGTCTGGAGGGCGATACTTTTATATCATCTTTAGTAAATATTTTGACAATTATTTTTTTGTGCGTAGGATTAGAAACAACGGTAGGAAAAACTACAACTTTCTTTTTCTACCACACGTTTAGCAACTTAATCTCACACCTTTTTCCACGAATCATACGCTTCATGTCACCTAAAAAATTCTCAAATGGAAATGCACTTACGTTATCTAAATTTCCGCAATAAATACTGTCATCTGCTACATGGAGTAGCGAGTGCACATTGTAGCTCATAAATGTGCTGCCATACAAATCATTACTTTTATCAACAAATTTCCTTAATATTATTTTAGCAACATTATTGAACTCCGGAATATGAGCCTTGTCAGACAATAAAATAAATGTCGCAGTGCAGTGTGTAGCATAAGAAAATGTCTGTACAAATTGGCTGGTAAAATATTTTTCAAAGCTACAGTTCCGAGATACAGAAGAAATTGACGGAATTCTGTAGCTTTAAAACGATGCAAATCATCAAACGACCTCGGCTTACGCGTAAATTCAGACGGGACAAATGCAGAGATACTTACTAAGAAACACGAAATATTTTTGAACAACCTATTCGGAAGTCGAGTAGCAAGATCGCCAGATTCCCAAGTGTAAAGTAATTTACGCACTACCCCCAAATTAGGTGCATGTAGTCAAGCACCACATTAGATACCAAACCTACATCTAAGGCTAAAAGAGGAGAATTACCAAGATGGTGATCAGGATCGCATTTTGATCGAAACCCGGTATCATTTCTTAATCTAGAATTAGAGTTTACAAAAACTAGCCTATTTCGATAGTGGTCACCTTCTTCCTTACAACGCTCACACCCATGATATCCCGTGTGACCTTTGATAACTTTTATCATACTACGGGCTGGGGCATCAGCAATGACACAACTAATTCTTACGAAATATTTAATAGCGTTTACTACAAATCCATCATTTTGTAACATTTTGACCTCTTCTACAAATTTGCTAAAAAAACTCCTGTATATCAGACGGCTTAGTCCTTCCACTGTAAGGCGCTACTAGTTTAATTTTCTTAATTTTTGCTTGGTCTAATCTAACTAAAATTGGCCACATTTGCCGACCACTACTTTTTGCAATTGGAATTCCATCACTGGAGATACTTGTTGTAAGAAGCTTTTTCTGATCAGTATTAAAATTGGTCGCCCAGTTAGCTACTAAAGGAAGCTGGGACTCGACCAAGCCATTAGTAATTTCTTGCTTTAGAAAATTTATGATACCAAAATAAACAAACTTTCCGTCCCCCAAGGAATTAACAAAGATACGCCTAGGAGTTGAAAGAAGAGTCTTGGAAGATCTAGGAAGTTTAGAATCTACATATGGATCTAAAATTTTAAGCAAATCTGAAGTAGCAGTATGTGTAATATTATGTTGTACCGCCCATCCAGCTAATTTACTTACTAAACTAGGTTCACCTATATCGCTAACTTGAGAAGTAACAAAAGCGTCCTCTGATTGACTAATAAGATTTATACTATTTATATTAAGATTAGTAGAACCACTGTAACTATTTTCTTCAGGATTAGTTTCTTCCATTTCTTGTTCACGGATTTCCACCAGCGATAGAAGTCGTCGAACCTCCTGCCGTATCAATCGTCGTCTTCTTTGATACATGTCGAGGGCGAACTCGGGCGCCTGGTCCCTTCTTATCCCGCGTATCTCTAAAATAATTGAGAATTACTCTCTCAATTTGTGAAATCTCTGTGTTTTTTGCGACGTCGCACTCCCGTGCAGCAGCTAAAAATTCAAACAAAGCAAAAACTCAAATATGTGGGAAGACAAATAAACCGTAGTAACGTTAGAAGTAGCTCACCCTGCAGCAATGGTTTGATATAACTATGCACCAAAGGTGCTCAATAAGCGTAGATAGTGGGTATAAAATTTCTGTAATTTTGTGCCAATGGTGACTTATAATCGGACAGAACAGGTATAGAATTTTGACATAATTCTACACCAATAGTGCAGACCAAGGCTACAAAACAAATATCTAATTTTGACACAATATCGGATTTTTGTCAGGACGGAAAGAAACTGCACCAAAGGCGCAAAATTAAGGGAGAAAGTAGGCACAAGTTTGATATTATTTTGCAGCATAGGTGCAGAATAAGCGGACAACGGAGATACATAATTTTGATATAATTTGGCACTAATGGTGCAGGAGAAATGGGGAAAATTGATACACAATTTTGACATGATTTAAAGAATTTGTAGACGCCACATAAAGTTCATGGTGGATCGATTTGTTCAAATGATTCGCACCATTTGCATCACTGAATGTTCGATACCAATGGTGCTACGAAGTTTAGCGATAATGGACGGGGGAGTTTTTAATTTGCATCAATTGATGCAAAAAACTCATCAACAGACGGACGGACGGACGGACAAGAGGAATTCAATAGCTCCCGTGCTACGCAGGGTGAGCTAATAAGCTAAACAATTTGGAAATGTTTGTAAATCTCTTCATTTCATACCGACAACTATATTGTGAAGTTCTAATGCAGAAAATGAGTGTTTCTCCAATTTACCACCTCCCGTATAATTAA